AAGGCGACGTGACGGGGGGAAAGGGGCGGGTGCGACGGGACAGGGGCGGGTGCGACGGGACAGGGGGAAGGCGACACGACGGGGGGAAGGCGCGGACGCGACGCGACGGGGGGAGCGCGACGCGACAGGGGGAAAGGGACGGGCGCGACTCGAGGGGGGGGGTAAGGCGACGCGACGGGGGGGGGGGGGGGGGGGCGGGCTACGCTACGAACTAGAGCGTGGCTCGATGCTAGGCTCGGTAACAGCTGGAACGATATAAACGAGAGCGTGGCTCGGCGCTAGGCTCGGTAACAACGAGAAGGAGACGAACGAGAGCTAGGATCAGGCTCGGGTGGTACGAACGGAGAACGGCGGAACGGGATCCCACAGGATCCTAACCTAACTGATACCATGTCAGAATGAAGAATGGATGATGCATTGATGTTGGTTGGGGTACATATAGCTAACCCTAAGTTTTGTACCCCCTAAGACAAACCTCACTATAGGCTACAACATTTGACAGTAATGGGGCGTGAAGTGACTTGATTATAACTTGATATATATTAATCTCCAAAAGAACATGAAACAACATTGATTGTTCTCTTAATAATAACGTTTCTGATTTTTATTGAAGATCTGCACAACTTCCCTTTCAATTCCCCATGATGTAGTGTTTTGAACAAAGTTTTTTTATGTAACCATTACAGTATGCTTGTTATGTGCGGCTTCATCTTCTCAGAAGTATATAGCATGTGTAAATCTGAGTGTTGTTCAGTAACTCGTGTACAGTAGTGGGGCCTCCCTGTGGAGTACAAGCCGATAGATCTTCCCGAGTTTAGTCAGGTCGTGTCCGTAGCTATGACATGTCAAGCGAGAGCGTGTCAACTTGCGATTTTGACACTTGCCAACATTGTTGGCAGAGTGTCAGCGACTCTCAAACCGTCAGCCAATAAAATTCGTCGGACATCCCGCTCTGCAAAAGTCGTCGCGCCAAGCAACCAACCAAAGTGGTCGCAGCGATAAGTCTGACTAGCCACTCCCGCCCGATCAACGGAAGCAGAAACTCGATGCGCTTCGATCAGAATGAAAATTGGACCGCCCAGCATTTACATGCGGCTCGATATTCTCCAAGAGTTCAGGTCAGAGCCAGGAACGAGCACTTCACCTTGCTCGAAGAGACATACCAGCAAACCCAGCTAATCGGTTGTTCGATTAAAAAGCAAGGCAACTTCACACAAGTCACCATAGTTTTCCCAGGTTTATTTCAGCCACTGTCCTCTACAACTCCACATTACCAGTCACGTATGGCGCCGAAAAGGAGGCAGGACAAGGGCAAGCGCCCAATCGACGACAAGGGCAAGCGCCCAATGGACGACAAGGGCAAGCGCCCAATGGACGACGAGGACCCTTATGCAACCAAGCCTGACCCGCCCTACGTTGCATGGATGAAAGAGCAGCAACGTCGTGGGGTTCAGCGTGCCAAGATCCGTGATGAAACCGACGAGCCTTCAACCAGCAGCCGCCCTCCGCGCCGCGCCCGTGGACCCGACGAGCCAGGACCCTCGCGTGCGCCTTCAATGCCTAGAGAGGGTGATGAATCGGAGAGTAGCGACCCATCCGACTCCAGCTCTGACTCACCAAGTGATTCCGACACGTTCATCGCGAGTGATGACGCGGATGAGGAAGAGCAGGTACTGACGCCACTGCAGCTGAAAATCAGAAGGGCAAGGCAACATTGGGCAAGCGAAAGCGAGGCAACAGACGTGGTGGCCCATGGAGCATGGATGAACTCGTCGAGCTTGCAGCAGCTAAATGGTACTCCAGGGAGGATTTGAAAATCATGAAGGGCAAGCAGGCGATGCAGTACTGGAAGAAGCTACGAAGGCATATTCGTCGCCACAATCGTCGTTGGAGAAGGACTTCGGAGGCGATGAAGCAGCAGTGGAAGCGCATGGAACGCGAGTACAAGGAAATCGTGGACGCCATGGGCGTTTCGGGTAACGAACGTGTGCTCACGCCCGATTGGTTCCAGTACATGGAGTGGCTGAAAACGGGGACTGCCGCGGTCAACCCACATGTGGTTGACAATGGTGGGTCGGCTAACATCGCAGTCGATCCGTCAACCTGCATCCCGGGAGTGAGGGCAGGCCCTTCTCGTCCCATCATCATCGGTATGTGCTGTGAGAAGCTGAGTTTTACTGATTCACATGAAAATCAAGATGTATGCAACATAAATCCATATCACATCTATAGTAAACATTAATGCTCACACATCCTACATTACCCCCCACCCCCCCCGCATGTGGAGCATTTGTTATGCGAATGCAACTGCAGATGACGGCCACGTCGCTGCTCCACCTGCTCGGCGTCGACCGACAGAAACGGGCACCTTTAACGGTGCCAAGTTGATTGCGGAAACTATGGAGAGATGCAACACGATGCAACTGAAGGAGCTTCGTGAGCTGGCCCTTATGATAATCGCCAGCAACAATCAGCCACCTCCTCCGGTCAATCCCCCTTCTAGCATGCCGCAGCATTTTGGGCAGCCAACTGCCCATGGCAACTATCACAACCCTCCCCCGGCGTACTACACGGGATCCGGTTCGCGTCCACCCTCTACGCACGTCTCTCCTTCTACCGGCCGCCATGAGTTCCAGAGTTTCTATGCAAATCGACGCCCGACCTCGGTGTCCCCTACTGCTCCTACTGGTGTGACTACGGGAACCACACACGAATATGCCAACCCAACTCACCAAGATCCCGCAGCAGCACCGGTGGAAACCGCTCGCCGACTCTATAACCCCAATGCTACAAGCCTTCCTGAGAATGACGGTCGTGGCGGCGCCTTTACGGGTCATCCTCATTCAACCCCTCACCAGCCGCCTCCGGGTGCGCAATAAGATAAGCCTCGTGAATTGCCTTCCCAAATCGCTTTCTTCTTGCATGCAATTCCCTTGACGAGCGGTTTGTGGTAGGGAGCCATGCATAATTGGCCATGCCGTTGCTTAACCACCATGGGACACTCATATCCTCGTCATTGTTCTCCGTGCCTTCGTCCATTGTTTTAAAACCCACATACTTGTCTTCCAGCATGTTATGAAGAATGATGACGCAGGCCGTCACAGCGCACACTCTCCACAAGCGGCACTCGTTCCGTAGAGCTAGAATCCGCCACCGTGCTTTCAGCTTGCCGATGCACCGCTCCACCGCCATCCGGGTTGCACTTTGCACGTAGTTGAATGTTTGCTTCCACTTCTTCATGATTCGGCGTCGCGATGCATGCAGGGGGGTGAGGCAATACTCCCGAAGTGGGTATGCCGCATCGCCAACAAGTTGATAGGGAAATATGACGCCGTTTTCTAGTCTTGCATGTAGGTGGCTTTTTACGAAAACCCGATGGTCATGCACGGATCCTGGGTATCCTACTATGTAGTCCCATATCACTCCATTAGCGTCGCATGTAACCTGTAGTTGCGTCGAATACATCGACTTCCGGTTCATCGCGGAAAAGGCAAGTGCCAAAAAAAACTTAAAAGTGGCGCGTACATAACTTTGCAGTTGCATTTTCCACGGAAGAAAAAAGTTTGACTCAGCAACAGTGGTAGCGTCAGTAACTACAACCGTCACCTTCCCGTCACTTTCTGGCAACAACGTGTGCAGATTCCCGCATCCGCCACGCAAGTGTACAGGCAACTTCACAACTGGAATACAGTAACCACACACGTTACTCGGATGGTCACCATAACGTTGCACCGCAACCACCCACCTCACATACCTCCCAGTAACCAAAACATGCGGCGACGTACACGTGCCCACGTGTACCTGAATTTCAACCATACCTGCCACGTAAGCGTACACATCACTACATGCCGAACCTACCACAGCCGCACGATTACGCACCACCACACCAACTATGCACCGTTCACGTGTAAACAGCTCCGCGAGTCGCCAATACTGTTACAATACCTCCAGCCAAACGAGTACCATAGATTAGGGTAGTGCATACCACATCCAGCCCGTCCATTCTCCATGCATTGTATGCCTCGCACCACTACCCCCCTGCCACGTGCAACTCACAACGTCCATTGATACAGAACTACCACGCGCCATCTCACCACCTGCTTGTCCCACGTGTCCTCAACACCCGCCATCGTACTATGTGTTACCCCTTCTCGCAGCTACCTCGCATGCGTAGCCCAACCACTTGCACGCGACCATGTTCTACACCCTACGTAGCATCAACAACTCATAGGCTGCCACGTATCAGCCACTGTTTAGGGATATCGCACCGGCGATCGCCAAAGCGTGCGGCAGCAATTCGCACAGCCCCTACGCGTCGCATCACCACCTTCAGACCTCACAGGGTTGGTGCACGACACCCGCGACCACCAGCGTGGCAGTTGGGCCACGTTGAGGTTTCGCACCGCTCGTAACATGGTCGCCTGCACCACACTTCCAGTGTCGCACAACACGCATCACCAAACACCAGCCGTCCACGGAGGACGGGAACGATCCACCCCTCCACCGCCACGCGTCACTTTCACACATTCCACAAACGCCACCGTGCCAAGCATACAAACACCGTGCCGACAAATGGGGCCTCGTCAACTGTTCGAACCAACCACGGCAATCCACGTGTTGCTGTCAAAGTAGGCGGATCCCAAACCATTGCCCCTCTCGTGAGCTCTCCGTCAAACGCGGCGACACTTGCGGTGCACATGACGCGCGCCCCGGAAAAATTGGTTCAATTGGTCCTAGCCAACCAGCATTGCCCGCCGATGTCTGACTGGATGGATATTGACCCCGTCATGTCCATTACACACACTCAAAACAAGCATACAAGAACAATTTCCACAAACGTCTACCGCGCATCACACACCGTAAACTGCACGAGAAATCTAGTCACCTACAAACACCAAACCAGCCGCACGTATCTCAATAGCGCACGCAAAAGCAACATCACCTCCCACCACGGCAAGGTCTATGCCCACCAACAGCCCGTCCTCCCCCTCCCCGCCGCTCTACACACCCCCGACAGACACCGACTGCACATCGTTCCCGGCGGCGTCTCCTCCGCTAGCGCCTGCATTGGGCTTCATGCTCTCAAGCCCACATGCAGAAAGGCGGAGGCCATGGCGTCCCCATATCCACTCCTCTTTCTCCTCGTCGTACTCTGGATTGAAGTGACGGATGGCCTGTGAAACGGAGCCCTTCACAAGCACCTTGAGCCCGTTCACCACGTGGCCGTTCCCCCCCGCCGAGTTAGAGAGACGGCCCATCCTCTGCTCCCAGTACATGATGCTGTCGGACACCTGACAGGAGATTCACACCGCGCACACATTGTAAGCCTACAGCCCAGGCGAGGAGTAACCACCAAATTTAAACATTGTCACTCACCACGTGCTCTAGCCACGCAAGGTGGTACACCTTCAAAGTGAGCGGCAGTGCAGCCTTCTTCGGAATGAAGGCAGCCTTTGCGCACGCCGCAAACGCCGCAGAAGCAAATGGCATCCCGTCGCGGTCGTTAGCCCAGTTGCTCAACACCAGATCATCTGCACACCGCCGACAGCTCGGACGAGTAAAAATACTACACCCAATCACGCAACCGTCACCAATGTGTAGAAGCGCCTGAACACCGCTTACCGCTCTCATCCGCCCCGAGCCCAATGCGCTCGCGAATCTGCTCCAGCGTCCGTGCGTTGTCCCTTGCCCACGGGCTTGCCTCGTCGCGCTCGTCCCGGAAGAATCCAAGCTTCGGGAGCGCAATGTCCCGGACCCGTGCTGCAGCCCTTGTCTTCCACTCGCTCAGCGTCTTGTTAAGGTCCGCCCGTCGGGACTTGTCCGCTGCCAGCGCGAGACACGCGAAGCTATGCGGCAGGCGGTCAAGCACTGCGCAGACGCCATAAGTCTTGTCGTCAGAGCTCGGATAGAAAGTCATGGTTGCGGCCGGCTTCTTCAAGAACAGCTGCACGCGGACCAACTCGCATAGTCGCTGCACACAAGTCAGGAACCACCGCAAACACTGAATGAGAACAGTGCTCCACCAAAGGGCATCCCCATGCAGACTGCGCCCGCCCATACAGTAATGTTTCCCGTCTGCTAGCACAACCCACCTTCCAAGCCTTGTCTGCTGGCAGCAGATCAAGTGCGCGTTGCAGAACAGGCGACTTCGCAGACCGCATATGTTTGCGCCGCGTGCGAATCTGTGCCACGTCCTCGAAGTCGTCGTCGTCGTCCACCTCATCGTCATCGTCCTCAACCTCAGCCACAGCCTCGCCACGACGCTGGCGCTTTGGGTTCATGCATCCCTGTCCCGGCTCCCTCTGCCGCTCTGCTTTGCGGCGACGAGATCCCCCATCGGACTTCGCCAGTGCCTCCAAAAGCAAGGTTTCCAAGCGGGCAACCTTCTTCGCGCTCTCGTCTTGCGACTTAAGCAGGCTCCTGAATACTCCCGCAGAAACGCGCACCTCCTCTCCATTGGTTGGGACATCAGCGTTCTCGCGGTTCGTGTTGGTTTCGAACATCGCGCGCATCGCGTCGCCCACATCCTCGTCATCCTCCTCTTCGAAAGCGTTGACGTCGCTCTCGATGCGTGCCTGGTCGCCCCCGTCAACGTCCTCGCCTCGATTCCGGAGAGCCAGACGCGGATCAACGTCGCTCTTGGAACGCGAATCTGGCGAGTCACTCTCCGCCGCTTGCTTGCCTACTCTGCCGGGAGAAGCGTCAGATGTCTCCCCCCCCGTAGTCTCTGAAGTGGTGGGAATGTAGACGGACGAGAATGTAAGTTCGACGGTTTAAAAGCTCCATTGCGGAAAGAAGGGAAATGCCAACGGCTTCAAAAGCACACGAGACTGTAAACGGCTCAGTTCTTTGGAACAATTCGAGCAACATGCGCAACAAACCCGTGATTACCATCACCAGCAGGGTTTCCGCCACCTCCCGCTCTGGTAAACGTCAAACGCTTAGGCAAAGCAGTTCCCCGAGTCCCCCTTGCCATGCGCCCACGAGGAGTTGCAAGCTGATATGCCGCGCGCAGGTACGCCGGAGGCTGGGACACTCGCCGTGCACGCCCCAAGTTGCCAGTATCTTCGGAAGCAAGGGAAGTCTCCATTGTGCCCAGCTGTATGTGTTGAGTGCACCGTACGCATTCCTTAGTGCTCGGATTGATATAGCAAAGTATACGGTACCCAGTGAACATTGCTCAACAACGGAAACACCCATTGTGAAAACCGTTCCCTCCAATCAAATTAAAAGGCAATCTCTGACAACCACTCGGAAACAACCTCCACGATTTCTGTCATCTTTGTAAGCGAATACGCATCGGCCACCAATCCCCGTCATCTTTTGTCCGAAAACCCGTCCTCTCGCTATCAGTTCCGCTTACTCCGTCTTCGGTACACTTGCTATCATGCAAATTCGTAACACCTCCACATTCAACTCCAGATATCATTTACTAGCAAAATAGTACAGACACGATAGATTTCACATGCTTTCCACACGCATGCAAACATCAGTCGGGTACGGATGCCTTTTTCTATCCCACGGCACACTTTCATTTCCCACAGATATCCCAAGCACCATCCTTCTGCCTCCCACGACCAGCTTCATCTGTCTTGTCATCCGTGGACTTTGCATCGGCACTGCGGAGCCTCCCAAGCGCCCTGCTGTTGGTTGGTTCGATGGCAACGATCTCAGTGTCCTCACTTCCAGCCTTCTCTCCTTCACCCTCTCCTGCCGTGCCACCACCCTGCGCACCACTCTCCTTTCGCGGTCTCCCCCTTTTAGCAGGCGTTGCATTCTTCTTGGCCCGCGCTGCCTTCCGCATCACACCTTCGTACGCCTCCCTCCATACCCTCCAGCGCCACCACATGCGGGCATCCACCAGGACTTTTAGGACTTCAGGAGTGCACCCCTTCAAAGCTGCCCTATCCGCCGGTGTTAAAGCCACAGAGTTCCTGGTGCCCATGCCTGGCCTCAGCACGTGGGCTGCTGCCGCGTAGCAATACGCTGCCTCCTCTATCGTGGTGTAAGCGCCGACTCTCTTCGTTACCTTCTTTCCGTCTTTGTCCTTGGCGACAACCTTCACCCCAAACTTGCCTGTATCGGCCTCCACATACACCCCGGTGTACTTGGTCGGCTTTGTTCCTGGCTCGGTCTCCCCCTCTCCGTCCTCGTCAGAATCCTCTCCTCCGGCCAAGGGCTCCTGCTTAGGCACAGCTGTGAAGCCGGGGTGTGCGCCCGCACCGCTCTGCGCGATGCCGTAAACAGGATAGGATGGCTGGACTAGTGAAACCGCAGCTCCCTGCTGGCGCGACAACAGCCAGTGTGGAACCGTCCCGGGGATCGGCAGATGTGCCGGGAAGCAGGGGTACGCTCCAACGGCTGACGCGAACTTGCTGTCGAGCGACACTCTCGTGTTGGAGCCCACCAGATCCTCGTCAGGGCTGTCGTTCAGCTGCTTCGTGTATCCTGAAGGCCGTACAGGAGTGGTTGGGCCGTGCTTGCGCGGATCATTACCTCCCGCTCCCTGCACAGCGCAGGCAGGCTTCTGCAGCATGTTTTCGCCGGCAGAGATCAGCTCCTCCCTCGACATCCCAAGCACCTGCCCAATTGCGGCGAATCCTGCAGTCATCGCACCGACCTCGCGCTTCAAGGAGCACACCTCCGCCTCGAGCCGGTCCACACGTCTTTGCTCTGTGTGTTGTCCGTCCTCTGCACCCTCCTTCAAAGTCGTGTTGGTGGTGGTGCCGCTTTCCTGCTTAGGAACATCCACGCCATCTTCCTCTAGCCTCCGGAGCAACTCCCCCATAGCGTGTGCGCATATATCAGCGCGCATGTTGCGGCGGTACTGCAGCGCGCTGACCCCTTTGAACCACAGGCCACTCTTCAAGTTGGCGAAGTCGGAGTAGACCAAAACTTTCAAGTAGTGGCAGATGAAGACTCCGCAGTCAAAACCATTCTCTTGCTTAGGGATGTGGTTCGCCTGCACACAAAGAATCCGCACACCGGGTAGCCGCTTTTCACCTTAGAAACCTCAACTGCCCAACACCAAAAACACCAGAACAGCCGCCCTTACCGTGAGGACATGACAGGGAACGTCCTTCAGCAGCAGTTCAAAATTCGACATGTCCACATGTGGGTGCGTCTGCTTGGCGAGAGTTGTCAGCAACCTGCATCACGTCTCATATGAGGAACCCGGTTACATCCACGCCGGTGTTAACAACCACCATATTACGGCTTATGCTACAAACACTTACAGCTTCACGCCACTGAAAACCTTCTGTGTACTCATGGGGGCCTTGGAGCTGTCGAACAACACCATTTCCAGCGGAGGGCTATCCTTCCTTGCCATCTTATCCACCAGACGGTGGGGTGATACGACTATCACCAATGAGTAGTGCTCTCTGCAGGGAGGCAAGCGGCAGTAAACGGCAGTGTTTAGTACGGCCGATGAAGAATGCATGCAACTCACGGGTGTTGCTGAACTACTCAAACAGCTCGATGATTACCCCCTGTAGACAGGGACCGCCATGTAGTCGTGCTCAAGGAGAGGCAGGCCGTTTCCAGCATTGACGGGAGTATTGTGCTCAGTCGTGTTCGCGAAGTTGTTGCAATCGACAGCCGCCCATGTCTTCCCGTTTGACAGTTTCGGCACTCGGATGCTTAGTAGCCTGGAAACACACGCCGGACATGTTGGAAAGTCGGCATAAAGGGATGGCATCGGATCCTCCTGCTGCGATTTGACATGGTTAAAAAAAAAAAAAACGTGCACGTAGCCGGGCGTAACCGTTACTCACACGTTGTGGAAGTCTATCGCCCCGTCAGTCACCCATGTGTTGTCCGCGATGGAGGCGAGATCCTTCTTGTCGACTGTGCTGACCACGTCGCGATGGTTCTTGAGCTCCACGTTGCGATATTCGACTTTGTAATAATGCTTTTCCAACGCCGCCACCAAATCGTCGGGCTGAGGGAGTTCAGCAGGCGTGCTGGCTGCACCGTCAGCGACTTCCATGGTCTTTCCCTTGTCATCCTCCACCGCCCGTCGTTGCCTTTTTTTGTTAGAGCCGGCGGCCTTTCCCTTACGCGACCTTGTCGCACGCACTTCTCTTATCTCGGACTCGGAGCAGCCGCTCGATTCTTGGCTGCCGGTGTGCGCGTTTTTCGGAGGCATGGTTGGCGCGGGATGAGGGGAAGGATGCGATTTCAGAATCAGGTGTACTAGGGCCCGGCCACGGTTCCCACGGTAAACTAAAACCGTTAGGGTTCTCCTGCGAACGAATTTGGGAAAGCGCAATAGCCCGTGGCAAGATGGCAGCAAAAGTGGTCACATCACCCGATGGATGACAGATCTCCAGATAGGGTTACTCGAAGTTCGTCGCATCATGCACAGGTCACCGAGATGATGACAGCTGGGCACCGCAGAATGGTCTGGAATAGTTGGATGAGTGCATGAAGTTGCTCCGTAGCCAGCACGACATCGAGAGGCTCCTAATAACGGGGGTGTAGGCATGTATGACTTGTTTTATATCAGGCATTTTCATTTCGAAATGGAGTGTAGAGTCGATAAAGTAGTGGTCCAGTTGGTAGGGCCAACTCCCGTTTGTTTCGACTTATGATGATATAAAGTGATACGACAATGCACAAACGCGTACATCTGGCTCGTGACGTAAGGTACGAAATTGGCACTTCCTCGCACGAATTGCTAGTACACCGCTGTGGGCAAGGTGTAGACACGGGGCCACCTGGCCAGTGTAGCAGTGATCAAACAGTGCCGGATGGGAAAGCCCCTGTTTACGGGATGCGTACGTGGGAGCACGTGCACGTATACGCGGCATGTAAAGTCTCGTTGAAGATTTGTAATATAATAGCGCTTATGATGGGCTGACAGTTTCTGCTATTGTTTCGTGGCCAAATTTACGTAGGTAAATATTGTCAATAGCAAACGGATAGAGTTGCGCACTATTTGTTTGCTTTATCAACGTAGTCTTATACACATAACGTCTATCTTCACATGGCTATTTTAACAACCAAGTGTATTCTTACGTACATGTAGTGTGTACGAAGCACTGACGCCTCATATGTTGCCGCGCACGGCCGTGGACGATATGAAAACCGACTACCTCAACCATTGCTAGTGGTCGGACTAGGGTTTGTAGCAAGTCTGAGATGACGGGAAACAAGTGCGGAGTGTGCGGTAAGGAATTTCCTAGCGACCGTGACTTGCAGTCTCATCTCTCAGACAGAACGAAATGCGGGGACTCGTTGAAGAGAAATCTCGAGCAGCTTATGTTTGATGCTTACCTGGATGCGCTAAACAGTGTTGGGCAAAAACGCCAGCGCAGCCCTGCTACGTGTGGGGCCAAAACCAACCCTATACCTACGAACTTGCCGCCAGAGGGCTCACCGCCGCAGGCGACGGAGGCAGATCATGAGGCGGACGATGGCGACTCAAAAAGCTCTACTTCTTCGGAGGCCAGTGACGTCTCCGACTTCTTCGACACGCTCACGGAGCTGTACCTGTTTTTCCGTGACGCGGACTTATCACGCCGTGAAGTCAACAGACTGCTTAACATATTCCGTAACCCTCAGTTCAGTTTGAAGGAATTACGCAAGTGGCGCAGCTACGCCGACGTGAAGCGATGGGGGAAAGAGCGTGCGCCGCCAGATATGGTTCCATGGAAAACAGAGCATATCGTCGTGCACGGGCCCAGAGGAATGTCCCAAAAGCTTCTCTTGCACTTCCGCGACACAGAGCTGGTGAGCTTGTCGTCATCTGCGTACCGCCCTTATTCGGCTTAGGTGTTGTGACAGATGGCGTGTAACGTGCCTATCTATATTTGTATTGTCGCGCATGCTTGATATGGCCATGCTCTGATGTGCAGCTTGTGAAGAAGCTAGTCCGCATTTTTTCGCGGAGGAAGGGTTTCGTGTGGAAGCCACAGGAGAAGTACAACGAGAAGGGGAAGCGCGTTTTCGAGGGGCCAGAAACAGGCACGTGGATGCACGAGGCGCAGGTGCGTTGCCTGGCTGAAACAGTGCATGTCCGATGCAGGGGCGTGGTACTGTAATAACCACCTCGGTGTGTGCGTGTGGCAGAAAGAGATCAAGGACGACAAGGCTCTGATTCTCGGGGTCATCGTGTACAGCGACAGCACTCAGGCGTCGCGCAACGGGCGGCGGAATGCGTGGCCTGTTCTGATATCGCTTATTAACATTCCGGAGGAATTGAGGTGGTTTGAGCTGGGCCACACTCTTGCGGCAGTGTTGCCATTCTGTCCGGAATGGGCTAGTCCGACAGAGAAGGCCCGTGTTTTCCAGGAGGCGCTGAAGATCATCCTAGGACCCCTGATGCGGGAAACCGCAAGGTACGTTTGGCGGCATGTGTGTTGGTTCTTCACGCGGTAGACGCGTTGCTTGTGACGTACCTGTGATCCGTTACCTATTCGAAATCCCTTTCTGTATCCAGTGCTCCTGTGAGGTACTTTTATGTGACAGACGCCACCGGCAATGTGGTCAAGGCGGTACCTTGCCTCTATGGGTACCCTGGTGACTATCCAGAGAACAGTAGGGCCTCAGCCACGCTGCAGACGGGCACTCATCGCCCCTGCGCTAACTGCTATGCAGAAGTGGGAGAGCTGAAACGGCTGACTGCTAAAATAGATCCACGCACACCTGAGCGGCAGAAGGACATTGTGCGACAGTTTTTTGCGTTCGCCAAAAAGGAGGACGCCCGGAAGTACATGAGCAAGTGGTCAACCCATCCGATAGAGATATGTTGCAGTTTGCCATTGTGCCGTGGAAACATTCGTTCGACTCGTGGCGACACTGTACATATAGGGTTGTGACGTGCTTCCTTCTGTGCGCAGTGCGTGCTGGCGCGGTGGAACTTTGGGAACACCACCTGGGGGAACGTCTACCTCGCATGTTTGGCTGACATTTTACACGTGCTGGACTCTGGTGTCTTCGTACACATGATGGAAGAATACCTTTCCCCCTTGGGGAAAGTCGAGATCCGCATCCTGGAGAGGTGAGCCGTGTAGATCATCAGTGCGGTGTTTTGGGGTGGACAGGGCTTTGTCAGTTCCTTGGAACGGGTTTTATGGCTTGGCCGAGATGCGTAACTGGCTCGTTGGTCCCTATTGCGTGGCAGGCGGAAGAAGGACCTCAAGAGCGATACTCCAAGTGTGCTGCTGCGGATTCCTGGGGGATCATCATTCTTCCTTTCTGGTGCCCACTATGCGGCGTTCGAACATCGTGCCATGATGCAAATCATGCCGATCCTCATTGCGGATTCTAGTGCATTGAAGAAGGGCGAGGCGGGAGAGTTGAGGGCGCTGCAGGTTAGAGCATTCCGTTATTACGCCCTGTTCTACAAGGCGTTTTTGGGAGTGGCGGCGCACACCCGTGCCACGCTGAAAGAGGCCAAGCAACGTGCTGTTGCGTAAGTACGGTGGTTGGAGACGTGTGTTGATTGCAATCCTTGTGCACCCTTAACCCTGTGCTTTGCAGTCTGCTGTTAGAACCTCTGAGCTACACAACTGTTTGCTATGCAGGTTGATGGAGCTGCTGCCCAAAGCTTTCCCGGACCAGGCATCAAAGTGGGAAATTCCCAAGGTCCACATGATCAAGCATCTTCTCGAGAACGTGGAAGCAAGGGGGATGCCACACCACTACAGCACGGAGATGTGGGAGCGCACTCACAAGGGGACAGTGAAGGGTCCCGTGAGGGGGAGCAACTGGGCTGACATTCCGAGGAGAATTGTGGATGAGGAGATGCAGCGGGAGATTTACAGAGAAGTGGCGGCCGATGCGGGAGGAGGTCGGCAGTACGTGTCAGCGCTGCGTGTGGTGAGTGTTAGGGTGCAAGCAAGACTAGGGGTGGTGCGCTGGGCGACTCACGCCCTGTACTAGGTGCGTGTTTGCTATGCACTCTCATTCAGTGCATGCTGTGTCGCCATTGGTTGTGTGCGGCAGGCCGTGGAAGAGATGGAGCCAGTGCTAACGAAGAAGTTCAGGGTCATGCGCCTCGGAGGCACCGCGGACAAGGTGTTTGCCGAGTACGCAGCGGTATTTGGGGATCAGATGGCGGGCCTACCAGGTCAGCTGCGGGAGATGCAGTTGAACCCTGGCAGTGTGCAGGTAATCCTTTTTTGTGGTGCGCGGATTGTCGGTTTTTGGTGCGCGGAACGAGTGACATTGCCTGACCTCTTTGATTTGTGCGTGGTGCTTGCCTTATTGCAGACACACACAGCAGTGGCCATACCACGTACGCAGGGTGGGGTGCTTGTGGCGAAGGGGACGTTCGTCAAGGCGTCCCCGCGAGAGAACCTGTTCTCAGATGTGGCACTCCTGGCTCCTGAAGGCGAGGATTGGTTTGCTAGATGCCTATGTATTTTCAAGGCGTTGAACGCGGAGGGCAAGTGGACTGGGTGTGCCTACGTGAGGTACTACGAAGCAGCAGGCCAGTGTCCCATCACAACGTGCACCCAGTTGCATCCAGCTCGAGAGAGTGTCCGGTTCGCAGTGGTGTTGCTGAAGAGCCTGCAGAGGGTTGTCCACGTATGCCCATCGTACAGCAACCTTCGTCTGCTGCTGGTTAACAAGTTTCTACTCTGCGAGTAATTGGAGTAGGGTTGTGTGTTTGGAACTGTGGATAGGTGGTTTTGTTACACTCCTAGAAGGGGTGGAATTGAGGGATTGTGGCATGTAGGGGTGCATGGGTACCTGGGTAAGGGAAGGAGAGTGCGCACCCGAATAGTACGCAGGTCTCGTGGTTGGATTTGGTGGGCTTGTGTGGTGGGAATGTGGGATTTTGAAAATGCACCGTCATACTGGATTTTTGGCGGCCGGTGTGTGGATTGAGGCAATGCTTGTAACGGATTTGGTTATAACGGCAGTAGGTTCACGGCACTGGTGTGCGGATTTGGGTGTTGTGGCTGAAATGCAGGGACACTCTTGTTACGGAATCCAATTGGATATGTTGCTGGGGCTAATGGTTCGATGTTCGGATTTCTAGTGCGTGTGACTGGCAGGTGCGCATTTGTGTGACGTGTACGACATCAGAGGTTGACAGGTTGGGCCAATGGGAACTGCGCAATTGTGTACATGGCATTTAGTGGACAGTGTTTAGTTGGAGAGTGATTCAGTGGTTGCTGCACATGTGGAGCGCCTAAAAGGCAGCACATGTGGTGGTGGAGAGTACGGTTGGGGTTTTTGGTGGATTATTTGGGAACGTCCACCATTTCATCTCCAGCGTCCCACACGTTGTCCGGGGTGAGCTGGTGGCCAGTATGAGCTCGGTGAAGCCCCCGTTGAAGGACATCGTACAGAAGCTGAAAGTGCTCCCCGACGATGTGTTTCTGTTTGTGGAGATACCGTTTATGCCCAGCCGGTTGCCGAAGACCAAGATACCGGGGAGGAACGGAACCCCGTGCGACCGGATCATAAGTGTCGGCTTCTTGTACAATGCGACGGGGACCTGCACCACGGTGCCCCTTGTGGTGTTGCGCCATGACGAGCGCCCCGAACCTAGGCGCAGCGGGGATCCTGCACCGGCGGTGATTGTGCGCTACACGAAGAGTGGGCGCCTCACACCCGAGGTATGTGGGCCGATTTCGAGTGGACTCCCTCCAGCACATGTGTATAATGTTGTGGCTGCATTTCAACCCTGTTTCTGTGTGATACCCTAATTCCGCGCTGGCGCTGTCGTGGCTTGGCGGTGCGCAGGTGTTTACCGAGTTTTTTCTGACGATGGGGTGCAGCTTAGCCGTGGAAGGAAGACGGTTGTGTTCACCTACAACACGGCGCACCGCATTACCGCGAATGACGCGGAGACCACGGTGGAGCATGGGCTGACTATGGTGCATTTCACGCACACACGCTTTGTGGACCTGACAGACGTTGTGCACTGGTCCAGTATGCCGTTTTTGCACGGCGTGGTGGACGCTTTCAAGGCTGAGTATCGTGTGATACTGATGAGACGCGCGGTAAGGTCCAATCTGTTCCACGAGGATTTCGAAGCGCCGTTTTCCCTTGTGAATTACGGTGTTATGCTGCTGTGGGTGGGCTTGGCATGGAAGGCGCTGACGGCGGCAACGATGCAAAGGAGCTGGTGGAGGGCGGGATGCGTCCCGGAGTCATGGTGGGAGCTGATGTGGCACCTGCACGGCATGTACTCGGCCGGCATGTACGATCCCCTGGTCTCTACCACGGCGGACCTCCTGGTGCTGCTACGTGAGTTCCGTGTGCGGCCGGCTATTTATATGCCGGTGTCCGATTACGTGACATGCGATGAGTGGTTAATGGAGAAGGCTGGTGTGAAGTTGGTGACGCCCACGACGCCAACGTCTTCAGGGGACGAGGGCGAGATGTGCCTGCCGGATGGGCCTCTGATGCGTGACGAACGAAGCCGACGACGTGCCATCCGCAATGTGACGAACGCGTACGTGTGTCACGCGGAGGCGCTGGGGATTGCTCCTGCGGAGGTGGCGACTGTCGTTGGCGCCTCTGATGGAGAGGTGGTTAGCCGCCTAAGCCGCACACCGAAGAAGCGAGCGCGCAGTACGGGGTCGTCGGACAGTGGGTCCGTGTAGTGCGCTTGGTTTCGATGCTGTAGTGGGAACCCGGGGAGTGTTTGTTGGAGGGCATGCCTCGAAGGGTGGGCTCATCTTTGTAGTTGTGGTTGCTGGTTGACAGTAGGGTTTGGTTTTTTGTGATGTTGTACTTTGTATTGCTGAGTGCTGGAGTTGCAAGCGAATGACACGGTTTACACATTATGAAGTAGACGGTGTGCAGAGCAGTGTAGTTTGGTTTGTTCAGTATATATCGTTGCTCGGAGTAGGTGTGCATTTATCGTTTCTGTGGTCCCTGTAGCGGGGGAGGGGCGACACGACAATACCGAGTATGTGTGGCGTTTTTGGCTCGAGCCGCATGTGTTCGAGGCGCATTCGTGGAGGCGGCGCGGATAATGGCGCAAGTGACCCCAAAGTGACGTTTTGGTGGCGGTAATGTTGTGGTCCAGTGTGCGGTTATTGATCGCGCCAATGTTGCGTTTTACGGTCCTTGTTTTTCGGACACTTGTCGCAACAATCACGCAAGCCCCACGCAGAAAAACCTTCGGACACCCCAAAACGCAATTTCCCTTTTCCGCGATGTTGTAGTATTCCGTGCGGTGCTTGTCCATGCCACGGATTTGGATATGTGTTCCATCCAGAGCCCCAACCACATTAGGCACACCTTTGGTTCGTCTAAACTCGCTCTCCATTCGTTGCAAGTCTTCCTTCTCGGGAAAACGGACCCAAATATGTTTGAACTTCCGTGGGAAACATGTTATGAACACTTCTGTCAGCTCCCAACAATGGGTTTTGGATACTCCGAAAAAAACAGCGAGATCACGGAAACACATGGCCGATGCAAAGTATTTGATGGGTATGAGAATGCACAGCTGCAACGGAATTTTATGCGTCCTCACGTATTTTGTATAGGCTGGCGACATGTAGGGCTCAATGTACTCAAGGACATGCTTGTTTATCCTAAACAGCTCGCGAAACGCCTCCGCTGGCATGTCTTTGAGGTTTTTCACCCATTCAGCCCTCCTTTGAGAACGCATGGCTCGAGTCCTCCGGTTCCATTCACTCTTAGTGCACTCCATGGGAGCTCTTAAGTTCTCCTTCGCCTCTTGTGTACCTTCTAGCTCCAACCAGGATATTGCAGCCTCCGCCATCGTTTTCCTGAACTCGGCTAATTTTCCTATGTACCAGTGGAGAATGACCATGAAAAGGTAGACTCGGGACCTTGTCAAGGGATCCATATTCCAACATTGATTGTGCGGAACCAGGATATGCGCTAAGCTTTATATGCTACGTCAATCTCTGGTGTGCGCAGTAGCATGGGAAACGCAATGTGCAGATTTTCACAAGGACGGCAATTCCTCCCTCGACTTATTACTAGAATTCGAGCATCGTGGGGTGATTCTGTCAGATTGTCTGGCGAAGCAGATTCTAGAAACACACGGATTATGAATTTTGCGGGACATGCTGTGCGACTGCCGCGTTGTGCAGGAGATCGCACGTTCATTCTACTTTGAAGCCCAACCAATTGGGTTGCGTCGCATGATTCTGCTTTGCGGTTCGATGTGACACGGATGCTACAGTGCTTGACACGCAAAATTTGGGGCGCTTCGGGTTGACACGCACAAGTTTTACATGTCAACCCTACGGACACGAACTCAGACGAGTTGTTTTGTTTCTACCCGAGCCTATTTCATCTAACAAAATCATCATTCTGCCCGTCGCCCGTGTAGAAATTGGTGTGAGTGCCACCACATTCTTTCTGGCACGTGTGCTAAGCAAAACGTACTTATGAAATCGCATTGATATTTTCGTAAGAGCTTGACGGTGAAACCAGGGCAAATCTCTGCATTTATGTCTAGAACTACCCTACAACGTAGGAACTTTTGATGAAAATGCAAATCCGTCTGAACCATAGCCTTCTGACCACTCGGCCTCGGCGAGCACTGAATTACAGTCGATGCCCAAACCGTGCACGCGAAATTGCCTTGTACGTTCCAGAAACCTTGCACCCGTGGGTTTCTTGCCGCGAAGTTGCACCTACGTTACAAGCACGTCGACCAATAAGAGCCACAGAAACGGAAGTCTGACTGATGAGACTGCAGTCAAACAGTCAACGGTGAGTTACAAAATTTTTATATAAGCCCTTTTTGCCCGATGCGAATTGACGAAACCACCGCGAAATGCAGAATCACTTATACGCACATGGGGTAGATTGTATTCCTACGTAGGGACACCATCCGAAGTTGGGACACCTGGTTGTTGTTTTTTTTTTTTTTTGCTTTCGAATGGAAGTCTACGTCAGATGTTACCCTGTAGTTTGAAAGGCTGGAAAACATCTCATGCCCAATCTTGCGTCAGAAGTAGCTAGTCTCGATGTGTCGGGTGACGAGCGGAGTATGCGAGTCAGATGAACTCACTCAGCCGCACTTACTCAACTGACTGACACTTGAGACGAGCGGTGTACTGACATTGCTAAGAAATTCGTGTGTTTATTTTATAATTGCAACTTTCAGAGCATCGTTTGTAGGTCACGTTGAACTAGGAGAAATAGCCATGCAACACGGAAATTGTCCCAACTTCGCATGGTGTCCCTGCGTTGGAATACAATCTAAGCCAAAGTTGGGGGACTCAACCGGACAAAAAATGAAGCGGCAGCAAAACACAGCCACCTAAAGTTTGTGTGATATTGAGCTGGGGAAGCATCTGGACATCACATGTCTGCCGTGAGTTCGCGGCTCTCATCGTGCGATCACGCACACGTCCAATTGGCGGAAGGGTTTGGGCGGATGTCGATTAAGCTGCGTTGATTCGTTGGCGGTTTCTCTTCGGTCGCACACTCTGCCATCCACGAAGTTGCACTTCCAATGCGCATGTTGTAGCTCGTGCGTGCAAACGAGCCCTTCGACGCCATCGTTCTAGAAGACCAAACGTTATTTTTGGCCCAATCCGCCGCGGCATTCCCTTCCCTGCTGTCATAGCATTCACTCGTTCTAGCCTCCCTCCCTCCCCACCTTCCCCATTGTCCTTCCAACACGACACGACTCGTCGGACATTCAGCGTCACCAAGCTTTCCCCTTCACCCTCGCATTCCTCATTTATCCCTCCGTAGCGGGCTCGCGATCCTTTGTGAGTCCCGCATTCTCTCTGACAGGTTGGAATTTTACGAATCCTGAATGAATCTGGTTTTCTTACCTCTTCAAGCCTTGCGCTACCTGGAGCGTAACGGCGCCGCGCCGCGCATCATGTCATCACCGTGCACGTGTTCGAGAGCACTCCTCGCAGTGCTGCTCGTCTCGACAGTTCTTCTTCTGGCGAGTCCTCACGCCGGCGTGAGGGGCGTTGAAGCGCGGAAACAAGCCCCGAAGAAGCCGCCAGCGAAGCCCACTGGCGTTCCGCAATGGGAGCTCTTAGCAGCGCTCAAGGACCTTGATAAAAAGTACACATTTCATGCTACTTTCGCCCAGCGATTTTACACCGCAGGTGAGCTTGACTGTAACGGTTACCCGCGACTCCTGCGCAAAACTCTTATTGCGTTGAACCTAGTGAATGTGTGCACTCTCGCTTGAGATCCCGGACACTCTTGATCGTGCACACTCTTTTTCGCGATGTCGCCTTCTTTTTTTGGGCGGAGGAAACATCACGATCCTAGCATTTGAATCGTCGCATTGTGTATCGCCTTGGCTTAGTCGACACACATTGTTGTCCTAATCCATTTGCGACGTTATTTGGTTGCGCGTGCAGCAAAGTACAAGCTCATCACCCTCGACGGCCCTTCCACCATCCTCATTCCGAGCAACATTGGCAACCAGTTCATGAAAAAGAAGTGGGAGGCGTACACTCCGGAGCAGCGCCTTCGCATAATGAAGAATCTTAAGGGGGATGTTCAGCAAAGAACGGCTGCTTGCTACAGTGCCGATGTGGGAGTTCCGCACAATGAACATGGGCCAGAAGTTGGTGAAGATGAATAAGTACGCCAAGAAGGAATGCTACTTCAAAGCCCCTGGCGCTAAGTCGTTTGGCCCAGTGAACCAGCCGAATATGAGTCTGACGAAGCACATTCAGGTGCACGGACTCTCAACGGTACCCATACCCTTGAATGTCTGGTGAAGACAGGCACGGGGCGTCCATAGGGTCGAAGTGGTGTTCTATGAGTTGGTGATGGGAGTAGTCAGAGGAAGATTGATTTGCACAGATGCAGGGAGGTTACGGTATTGGGGAGGGGAGGGATTAGGGGGTATAGGGGGATGTTTGGAGGGTGCTGTTGTGTAGGGTGTTGTTATATGGGGAATGTTGGGAGGGTGTTGTATTAGGGTGTTGGGAGGGAGTTAATTTTGTTGGCCTGCCTTCCATATGTATATGCTAATCCAGAAAGGATACAGCAACTACTGTGTTGATATATTTCTGGGGTCCGTAACTCATGTGCTATGCTACTATTGTACTCATGTTTATGTTTCCCAAATTGTGCGGTAAACAATCACATGTGATGCAATGGAATTTTAGGGCCTTGACAGTTTTATTAACGTACAGTTTCTTGGTTGCATTACACTGTATCGCCACACGTACAAAGAATGACAATTTAGTCTCCTTGTTACCAATTCTCTTTATAGCGAAATATGGTATCCCCATCGGGAAGAATTCTTGCTGGATTGTGCCTCACGATCAACTCTTCTCTTTCGCAACCACCTCTCGCACTTCCTCGTACAGTATTTCTCCTCGCAGCTACACGTACATGTTCTTTGCGGAGGACAGATGGGCAGCCTTCCTTCCCTTCCCACTTGACAATATTGTTTTTGCCAGCTCAATTTGTGCAGTTCCCAGCTGTTCGCCTGCCTGGTGGAAAAGAATAATAAAATCGTATGACTTCAAATCTGCGCGTGTACCATCCTCTCTCATGGAGTTTTTCTGAAGCCGTTCCCCTTTCGAACCAGTCTCAAGTCCTCCTTCAACAAGGAAACAAATATATTCCATAACCTCCGAGAGCTCCCGTGAGTTCCGACTCTTTTGTCATCCACGACCACCTTTCGAATGTTTTGTACCAAGGGGCAACTTTTCTGCGACTGCAGAAGGTGAACTACCCCTCAAACGTGTTACAATCGCCTTCAATGGAGCAAATTGTGTTCTTTTAAAAGAGTAAATACCTTCCAGTTAGTCTTTCCCGCTCAAGCCCAGTCAGAGAGGGAGGGTCGCTCCTCATGATGGCCCTTCCAGCTTGTCTCGCTTGGGTCGAGTCGAGTCGCACCCGCAAACCCAGCCCACACTCGCCATGGCCTCAGGGTGGACGTTTGCATAGCTTCATCCATTACAGTGCAGTAACTACCTCCCGCTCGGTCCCACCCAGAACCTCTCGGTCTCAACTCATCCCCTCTTTTCACCTACCTTCATGCCATTCCTTCCCTTCCCCCGGTCTATAGTAGTGCGTACTTTGTAGAACTGATGTGTGGAGGCTCGCTACGAACAAGTTGAACTTAGAGATCGGCTGCTCAAAGCTCCCAGGCTATCGTCGTGCGTAAATCCTCCTAGAATTCGAATAAGTCCGCAGTGAGCTCGTGGCGCGAATCGAGAAAGTCTCGATTAAAGTAGCTCTTTAGTATTTCCCTTGCTGAAGGCGTTCAAAAGCAGGTATGTATCAGCAAGCCATGATGTGCAGAATAGGGTGACCTTCGTGTCGATTCAAAGTTACCTGCTTTGAGTCGGCTCAAATTTGACAGCGACTTCAAGGTTACCTAAGTCATGCGCAGAATGGCTGACAGACCGAGTCCGCGGACTATTTTGCGTGGTTCCTTCGACGCATGGGCGAATTTTGAGGCGCCTCAAAGGCCGCCGCCTTTTTCGCGTCGTTCCTTCGGCGCATTGGCATCATCCGTGCAACGTGCAAATCGCTGCTGCGCATTGCACGTAAAACATTGCGCAGCACATTGCACGTGAAACATTGCGCAGCGCAATGCACGTTGCACGTGGCCGTACGCGCCGCGTGCCTGTAAATTTCAGCGCGCCTGCATTTTGTTCACGTCCCAGCCGTTCCCAGCTCCTCATTTACAGCTCCAAGCTCAGCCGCTAAAGAACGAAACCGCTCTTCATGAAGAAAGAAGTCTCCCACATCCGTTTATTCCTTTCCGTCTCGTGCATCCCGTCCGTCCGTGCGTCCTTGCGTTCACCCGCCCCCTCTTCTGTACCCCCCTCTCCCCGGCCCCCCACTCCACCCCCCCCTCCCCCTTTCCCCCGTCCCTCCTTCCCCCCCCCCCCTCCCCCCTCCCCCCGTCCCCCCACCCACCGCTCCCCTCCCGTAGGTTCGAGCCAACGTTTTTCGGCCCTGCGCGCGACGCGTATTAACGTCTGCTAATACACGAAGCCTGCCTTTACAATAATTTCCGCCTTCAAAAAGAGCTCGCTCTTTCTCGCGGCGCGCTCTCAGCCATGGGCGCGGCGGAGGAATACGAGGAGCACGGCGGCGGCGACGGCGGTTCGGCGGAGGAGAATGGAAGCGCCGCGGGCGACGGCGGCGGCGATGGCGGCGCGATGCATCGCGAGGAGATGCAACTGTACTCTGAGGCGTCCGCGTTTCAAGGCGCCGCGGTGGTGGCGATGATTGAGCGGCACGACGAAGACATCGGCGAGGAGCAGAAGATTCTCGAAATCACGATGGAGGATGGGGTTACCATGTCGCTCGCGCTCGACTCGGGCGAACGGCGGCTTAACGAACTTGGTTACCGGCAGGAGCTGAAACGTTCGCTGGTAGGTGTTTCCTGGTAAAAGCGTATCTTACAATTCGGATGAATTCAAAGACGCGCCTTCTAAAGCGCCTTCTAAATTGCCAAACGAGCTAGGTTACCGGGAGGAGCCAAATCGTTCCCTGATGCGCGACGCATCTTGTGGCTAGGGCGGTCAGGAGGCTCGTAAATGTTTCCCTGGTAAGCGCAACCTCACGGGTTCGGCACTCTTTCCCTCTCATCTTCCTTTAAAATTCCCCTAGTAAGCGGCGTATGTCGGGAACAGGGTTTCGAGTTTAGGGCCGTTCTTATGTAGTGAATCAACAACAGCTCCGTGCCGTTTGCTTGTGCTTCATTAAGAACCAAAGCAGGCAACAATATATCCACGCGTGTATAATTTGCTCTTGCTTCTAACTGTTTAGTTGCGTCACTGTGTGGTGTTTTCCACTTCCCTCCGCTTTTGAGTCACTCGTTATCCGTTCCCCTCCCGGTTTTTATTGCTGTTTCTGTCTGCAAACAGCATTTTCCGCAGCTGTACGCGACGGGCATCAGCATGATGAGCGTGTTCGCGGGGGTGGTCCCCATGTACGCGTAAGTACCACCCATCCTTGGCTCCATGCGTAGTGTTCCTTCTGACGGGTCCGGATAAGCATTGAATATCGTTCTTTACATATGCTTTGTAATGTTGCTCTTGAAATGTTACTGGATATAACACAGATAACCTTTGTGTACGGATTCTGTCTTACTCACCTGAAGTTTCAGTATGTTTTTTTGGCCCTGCCCATTGCTCTATGTTCTTGCACTGTTGACAACTTGACAGCAACTTTTCTTCCCCAACCCCTAACATCCCCCTCCCCTCTCCCCCCACCTCTTCCCCCTTTCCCCCCTCGTTAATGTCCTCCCCCACTCCTCCCCCAGTCCTCATCTCCTTCTGTCATCTCCCCTTCTCTCATCTTTCCCATCTTTCCCACCCTTCCACCAAGAAACAAGGCTTTAAGCCTCAATGGGCACCGAGTAATGGTTGGTGTGGATGGGTTGCACCTTGTTCCTCGCCTCGCACCCACCATCCCGCCAACAGACAAGGGTTCCACGACGGTAGCCCAGCAGGGCTCATCTGGTACTACTGGATCACAGCCGTTCCAGTGCACCGCAATCCGTCTCATTGCACCGCACTGCACCTCTTTACTCTCGCCCCTCCGTCCTGCCAACAGACAAGGGTTCCACGACGTGCGGTGGCCCAGCAGGGCTCAACTGGTACTGCTGGATTACAGACCTAACACTGCACCTCATGGCACCTCATTGCACCGCCCTGCACCTTTTTGCACCCATTTTCCTCTCTCATCACCCACCCTCCCGCCAGCAGACAGGGGTTCAACGATGGTGGGCCAGCAGGGCTCATCTGGTACTGGTGGATCACAGCCGTGGCAGTGCATCTCAGTCACCTCTTTGCACCGCACTGTACTCTCTCCCTCTCCCCTACACCAACAGACAAGGCTTTAACGATGGTGGGCCAGCAGGGCTGATCTGTACTGGTGGGTCACAGCCATGGCAGTGCACCTCATTGCACCGCACAGCACCTCTTGACTCTCTCCCTCTCCCCTACACCAACAGCCAAGGGTTCAACGATGGTGGCCCAGCAGGGCTGATCTGGTACTGGTGGATCACAGCGGTAGCAGCAGTGCACCTCATCGCTCTCAGCATGGCACCTCACTGCACCTCTTTGCACCCATTTCATGTACTCCCTCCCCCAACAGACAAGGCTTTAACGACGGCGGGCCAGCGGGGCTCATCTGGTACTGGTGGATCACAGCCGTGGCAGTGCACCTCATCGCACCTATTTGCACCCATTTACCCTTCTCATCATCCACCCTCCCATTGACAGACAAGGCTTTAACGACGGCGGGCCAGCAGGGCTGATCTGGTACTGGTGGATCACAGCCATCACCGTCCTCCTCAGTACTGTCCACCTCATTGCACCACACTGCACCTCTTTACCCTCTTCCCCGTCCACCCCACCAACAGACAAGGGTTCAACGACGGGGGGCCGGCAGGGCTCATCTGGTACTGGTGGATCACAGCTGTTGCAGTGCACCTTATTGCTCTCAGCACGGCACCTCATTGCACCTCATTGCACCACTTGGCACCTATTTCCCCGGTCTCATCACCCACCTTTCCCTGTACCAACACAGACAAGGGTTCAACGATGGTGGGCCAGCAGGGCTGATCTGGTACTGGTGGATCACAGCGGTAGCAGTGCATCTCATCGCTCTCAGCATGGCCGAAATCTCCTCCTCCTTTCCAGTAAGTGGAAGGGAACGGTTTAGAGTGGTAAGAACTGGTGACAGAGTACCACTTACAAGGCCACGTGCAGACCACACAGCAGTAGCAATGCACCTCATCGCTCTCAGCATGGCCGAAATCTCCTCCTCCTTCCCTGTAAGTGGAAAAGAACGGTTGAAAGTGGCGGAAGCCGGTGTCTGCTAAAAAGCAGTCTCATTGCCTGCCGTCCCAGTGCCCCTCATTACCCTTAAGCTCCCACTTTCTTCTCCCCCAAACTTCCTCCCTCCACCCCTCCTTTCCAGCCCTATCCCACTCTGCCCATCCGCCTCTCTATCTGTTTTACTCCTACACCACCGCACTCTTCCACACCCCTCCACCTCATTCCCTTGTTCCTCCACTCCTCTCTTTCAATTTCCTTCCCCCTCCCCCTTCAACGCCCCCCAAACCCCGTAACCTGCATCCCTCCCCCGCGTCTCCCCCAACCCGCATCCTCTCCCCCTCTTTCCACGTACCAGACAGCTGGCTCGCTCTATCTCTGGGCGGCTGCCCTTGTTGGCTGTGCCCCCTCACGCCTCTCCCTCTCCGTCCCCACCCCACCTCTCCCCATCGCCGTAAACAGACAGCTGGCTCGCTCTATTTTTGGGCGGCAGCACTGGCAGGGCCGAAGTGGGGCCCACTGGCCTCATTCATCACGGTGAGATGCGATTTGATCTGATTCACAATGAGTTGCGATCTGATTTGATTCACCATGCATTGCAATTCAATTCAATTCAATTCAATTCAATCACTGCTTCACTTCAGAGTGGGGTTTCACGAATGTCCCATGCGCACGCCGTGGGTGTTCCCATCACCATGCCTCATGCCCCCATCACCATGCCTCATGCCCCCATCACCATGCCTCATGCCGCCATCACCATGCCTCATGCCCCCATCACCATGCCTCATTCCCCCATCACCATGCCTCATGCCCCCATCACCATGCCTCATTCCCCCATCACCATGCCTCATTCCCCCATCACCATGCCTCATTCCCCCATCACCATGCCTCATGCCCCCATCCATCCATCACCACGCCTTGTGCATGCGGGCAGGCATGGATGGAGTTTGTGGGGCCCACATTGGGGCAAGCCATGGTGGCGTATTATGCCATGAGCCAAGAATTGCACATGTGTGTCTACCATGCATCATGACCCCATCCATCCCGCATGCAGGCATGGATGGAGTTTGTGGGGCTCGCAGTGGGGCATGCCATGGTGTCTTACTATGGCGTCACCATCCTGCAAGTGCTCATTCTCATCAGCACAGGTGGGTGGGTGTGCTTACTACTACCATGTGTTGTGAGCGGAGATGAGCACAGGTCCTCAGGACCGCCATGCCATGGTGTCTTACTATGGCGTCACCATCCTGCAAGTGCTCATCCTCATCAGCACAGGTGGGCACTCATCCATGCATGCTCGCACTGCGTACTGGTACCAGCCACGTTGATAAGGTGCCTTACACGCGAGTATGAGCACGCTGCACAGGTGCAGGTCATGCCATGGTGTCTTACTATGGCGTCACCATCCTGCAAGTGCTCATTCTCATCAGCACAGGTCGGTGCACATCCATGCATGCCCGCACTGCTTACCTGAGCGCCTTCTTACACCCGAGTATGAGCACAAGTGGGCCATGCCATGGTGTCTTACTATGGTATCACCATCCTGCAAGTGCTCATTCTCATCATGCTGGATCACTACGAGGTGCTTGGCATCGCATGCGGGGAGGTGCGCATCTCCTGAGACGCTGCATTCGCGTCCCTCTCTGTGTTGTGTGTCTGTTTCCCAGGCGGGGCCAACGGCGATGGGTTCATGTTGGATCACTATGAGGTGCTTGGCATTGCGTGCAATGTGGTGGTCATCGTGTGTGCTGCTGCCTCCCTCATTCATTGTGTGCTCTGCAATGCACCCCTCTCTCCTCTTCTCCCCTCGTCGCGGTGTCAGGAGGCGCCAACGGCGATGGGTTCATGTTGGATCACTATGAGGTGTTTGGAATCGCGTGCGGGGTGGTGTGCATCTGCTGCCTCATCAACTGCTGCTCCATCCGCATCGTCTCCTACGTCATGCTCTTCTCAGCTTGCATCCAGGTCAGCAGCACTCTCCCCTCTCTATTGAGCCTATCATCATGCACATACATCTCTCCTCTGAGTCTCTCTTGCTCCATCCGCATCGTCTCATACGTCATGCTCTTCTCAGCTTGCATCCAGGTCAGCAGTTTTTCCATCTCTTGGCAAAGGTTCTCCTTTCGCTCTCCCTCTCTAGTCCCTCCTCCTCCATCCGCATCGTCTCCTATCTCATGCTCTTCTCTGCCTGCATCCAGGTCAGTCAGCAATACTCTTTTCAGCATACGTCTAGGTCAGCAACTCTCTACTCTAACATCCTCTCTCTCACAGCCCCTTTCATCTCTCCACTCACACCTCTGCCACCTACCCGCCCACCCACTCGCTCATCACACTCCCCTTTTCCTTACCCCCAATCGCACTTTTTGCGTCAATTCAAACACATGCATCTTCCTTATCCCCACCTTTCCTATCCCTTCATTCCTTCCTTCCAGTGGCTGGGAGCAGTGGTGCCGATAATCACACTCCCCCGTTCCTTGCTCCCAATCACACTGTTCGCGTCAATTCAAACGCATACACCTTCCTTATCCCAACGTTTCCTATCCCTTCCTTGCCTGCAGTGGCGCTCATTTTCATGCTGCCGCTTTTGAGAATTCTTAAAAGCGACCCAGATTTTGCTTGCAGGTGCTGGGAGCAGTGGCTCTCATCATCACGCTGCCTGTTCCTCGTCGGCCCCAAGCACCACGTTCGCTGGGAATTCTCAAAAGCACCAGCCAGCCTCATTCGCCTCCTCATAACACTGCCCTGCCCCCCTCCATGCCCCAACAACCACGTCAATCCACACACACACACAGGCTCTGCGCCCACCCTTCTACCCCCTCCCTCTCCCTCCAGGTGCCCCTAGTCATCATCACGTGAAGAGAGGGTATTTTTGAGACGTCTCAAAATTACCTTCTACCCCCTCTCCCTCCAGGTGCCCCTAGTCATCATCACGCTGCCCCTCGTCGCCCTCACTCGTGTACCCACACCCACCTGCTCTATACCCCTCACCACCCTCACCCCTCCCCCTTCCAGGTGCTGGGAGCAGTGGCGCTCATCATCTCTCTACCCGTCGTCGCCCCCACACACCAGCCAGCCTCATGCTTGCCCCCCTCCGTGCCCCAACCACCACATCAATTCACACTCACAGGGTCATCTGCGCTGTCCCCACCCTTCTACCCCCTCCCCCTTCCAGGTGCTGGGAGCAATGGCGCTCATCATCACCTTTCCCCTTGTTGCCCCCGTTCATGCACCCACGCACCCACTCACACCCACCTGCTCTGTACCCCTCACCACTCTCCGCTTCCCCCCCTCGGCCCCCCGCTTCTCCCACTCCCACTCCTTCCCTCCTCCAGGTGCTGGGAGCAGTGGCGCTCATCATCACACTGCCCCTCGTCGCACCCACGCACCAGCCGGCTTCATTTGTCTTCCAAACCTTCTTCACTAACGAGTCGCTGCCCACGCCGGTGAGCCGCTGCAAGTCACTCAGCTGCACTCTGCTCCTAGTCGCCACACACACCAGCCGCCCTCACCTCACACACCACCCACACACCACCCACACACCAGCCGCCCTCACCTCACACACCACCCACACACCACCCACACACCACCCACCACCCACACACCACCCACACACCAGTCCCTGCCCACTTCCGCTGTTCTCCACTCTCCTCCACTCTGCTCTGCTCTCAACTCAACCCACACACCAGCCACACACTAGCCTGCCTCATTTGTCTGCCTGCTCGTCTCCCAATACTCCCTCTACGGCTACAACGGCGTTGACTTGATCTGACTTCACTTCTTTCCCCTCCTCCCCCATCTCTCCCCCGATTTCCCCCCAGGCCTACTCCTTTGTGCTCTGCCTGCTCGTCTCCCAGTACTCCCTCTACGGCTACGACGGCGTGGCGCATCTCTCAGAAGAGACAAAGAAGTCCGACCGCACGTCGCCGGCCGCCATAGTGGCGTCCCTCACCACAGTCACATTCGTGGCGTGGCTGCTGCTGGTGGTGTTCACACTCTGCATTCAGAACGTGGATGATATATTCGCCACTGCCATGGAAGGGGAGGTGCCGACGACGGTTACGAACGGCATGCAGCCGGTCATTCAGATTCTCTGGGACGCCTTTCAAGCACGGTGAGTGGGTGGAGAGTGGTTAAGTGAGTTGCCTCACCCACCGACCGCACGTCGCTGGCCGCCATAGTGGCGTTCCTCACTACAGTCACGTATGTGGCGTGGCTGCTGCTGGTGGTGTTCACACTCTGCATTCAGAACGTGGATGATATATTTGCAACTGCTGCTGATGGAGAGTAACCCACGACCGTGACAAACGGTATGCAGCCGGTGATTCAGATCCTGTGGGACGCCTTTCAAGCACGGTGAGTTACTAGCGAGTGGGTGGAGAGTGGTTAAGTGAGGTGCCCCACCGTGGCATGGCTGCTGCTGCTGCTGGTGGTGTTCACGCTCTGCATCCAGAACGTGGATGATATATTCGCCACTGCAAAGGAAGCGCAAAATAGACACGTCCTTCTGTGTTTTGTCTTCAGCCGCCTCTCTCTCTCCCTCTCTCCTCCACCACTGCCCGCTTCCCCTCCCGTCCCCACCTCTCCCCACCAGATATGGCTCAGGGGTGGGGGCGCAGATATTCACGGGCATCATATACACGTCCTTCTTCTTTGGGACTGTGTCGGGACAGCTAGGAGCGTCGCGCGTGGTGAGTGCAGGGTCAGTTGGGGCCAGACGGGGCCTTCTCAAGTGTGTGAGTGTGAGGAGAATGGAAATATCAAGATGAGTGTGTGAGAGTCTATTTGATCTCATCTGGGGATATTCACCGGCATCATCTACACGTCATTCTTCTTTGGGACTGTTTCCGGGCAGCTAGGAGCGTCTCGCGTGGTGAGTGCAGGGTCAGTGGGGGTCAGATATGGGGCCTTCTCAAGTGTGTGAGTGTGAGGAGCGTGGAAGTATCAAGATGAGTGCACGAGAGTCTATTCGATCACATCTGGGGATATTCACCGGCATCGTCTACATGCTTCGACACGGTCATTCTTCTTTGCAACCATGTCGGGGCAGCTTGTTGCATCTCAAGTGGTGAGTGTGAGGAGAGGAGGTGATTGGTGAGTGTGAAGAGGGAAGGTGAGTGTGAGTGTGAGTGTGAGGAGAGGGGGTGAATGGCGAGTAAGAGGAGAGGAGGTGAGTGGTGAGTGCGATGCGAGGAAGGGAGGTGAGTGGTTACTGAGAGGAGGGGAATTTAGTGGTGACTGTTGTGAAAGGAGGCGCTTCGGGCATTTTCATGTCCCCTGTTTCTCCCCCCTTCACCCCATCCCTTCTTACTCCTCCTCGGGCCTACATGCACCCTGACGCAATGGAGAGCTGCCCCTCTCTCCTCCAAAACTCTCCTTCCTCTCAAGCTCTTGTTTGCTTCCTTTCGCCACCTCTCTTCTGTGCTCTCCACCTTCCCCGTCATCCCTTGGCCCTTCCCCAAAACCCCCCCAGGCCTACGCCCTGGCGCGTGACGGCGGGCTCCCCTTCTCCTTCCTCTGGCGTCGCCTCGCGCCCAACAAGGTCCCAGTGCTCGCCCTGCTGCTAACCCCCCACCCCCCCCCTCACTCCCACTCCCACTCCACAGGCCTACGCCCTAGCTCGAGATGGCGGGCTCCCCTTCTCCTTCCTCTGGCGCCGCCTCGCGCCCAACAAGGTCCCAGTGCTCGCCCTGCTACCCCTCTTCTCCCTCCCCTCTTTACCCTTTCAGGCCTATGCTTTGGCGCGTGACGGCGGTCTCCCCTTCTCCTTCCTCTGGCGCCGCCTTGCGCCCAACAAGGTCCCAGTGCTCGCGCTCCTCCTCTCTGTCGTCATCGGAATCATCTTCCTCCTCCCTCTCCTCTACACCTCCACCACCATCTTCTTTGCGATAGCATCCATCTCGAGCATCGGCTGGGTGTCGGCCTACTCGGTGCCAATCTTCTTCCGCCTCATTCAAAAGGAGGACCACTTCCACCCCGGCCCCTTCTACATCCCCAACTACATCGGGGTCATCGGCGGGTAAGATCATAGCCGAATCAGATCATCAGGGTTATCGGCGGTAAGGTCATTTCCACGTCGGCCCCTTCTACATCCCCAACTACATCGGGGTCATCGGCGGGTAAGACACATGTATGCATGCCATGCGGAAAATCACTCTACAATTGTAACTGGACTACGTCGAAGGCAACGTCGAAGCGTTGCATTTGTTCTTAGTACTTGCTGTGTTCACGAAGAGAATTGGCAAGAGTTTCACTACCAATAATTGAAAGAGCAATAAACACAATTGCACGACAAAGTCAATATAGCAAGAAAGCAACGCACGTAGCAATCTAGCAATTCGACTTCCGGCTCAGCATAAAAGCGGCTTGCCAACGCAGCTGGAGCTTGCCAACACTGCAGCAAGGTGGTTTGCCAACGTCGCAGCCACAGGTGACCATGTGCACACATGTGATGTGCGCACCTACAAGTAGGTGTAGGTAGACAGTTGTGTGCACGTCGTGCGCCGGCACGCAAATTGCGCAGGTGCAAGGTCGTCAAGCACGTGACGCTTGACCTGCAGACTGAATTCGACCAAACCACCTAGAGCTAAGTCCGCACACCCCAGCAGAACTTCGCCGACCAGGTTACTCAGTCGTTCAGAAGACGCAGCTATCTCGGGTTCCGATAGTCAGCCGACATCCATCGGACGACGTCCGCAACGCAAGTCGACATCATGTCTGCCGGAGCCTGACGTCGTCGGTCGACTTCGCTGTGTCAGCCAGTGTCGAAGTCGGCTTCAACGTGGTCTCGCTAAAGCCGACGACAAAGTTTGTCGACTTCCTGTCCAGGTCGATGCCAATTACGTAATCTAGTTGGCCGCACTCCTTGCGCGCCAGTCAGCGGCGTCGACTTCGCCCAAGCGAGAGCAGGGACTTTTCTCGTCAACATGCCCTGCTCCTCCCTCCTCCCTCCTCCTTCCTCCCCCCCTGCTCTTCACCTCCACCACCATCTTCTTTGCGATAGCATCCGTCTCGAGCATCGGGGACATCAGCGAGTAAGGTTCCACTAGGGTTATTGGCAGGTACGGTGTACCAATTCAGCCTTGTAATGACTAAATAATAATAGAAAAAAACGTCATCTGGGCTGATCAGGAACGTCAACTGGGTCTGCCTGTTCTCCATTCGGAATCATTGGGCTGAGTGGCGACTATGGTTCCCGGCTTGATTGTCTAAAACATGCAATTATCGTGATTTTCTTTATTTGTTTTTCATTTTTTTCTCCATTATTATTTTTATTATTTTTATTTTTATTATGTTTCCCCTCCTTGGGTTCACTTGACTAAAATGGCAGCCATCTCCCAGCATCTTCCCTTCCAACACCTCTCCTATCAACATCATTCCTGTGTCCCCTGTCCCCTCCAACCCCCTTGTGGCCCTAGCAAATTGCTATCCCTCGCCCGTCATCTCTCTCTCAGGAACTGCCTTACCCTTCCTGGTGACAATCGATAGATTCACTGCATCTGGGCGCCAGTGGCCATCGCAGCATAAATTCTCATCTCTTTCCTCATCATCCTATATCCCTTGAACCGCTCCCGACCACTTTGTGCCCCTCCCCATCTGTTGTACCTGCTCGCCCCCCACACCCATTCCCCTGCAGGAAAATTGTGCATTTCCTGGCGCTGGTGTGGGTTCGGTACACCATGATAGTCTTCCTGCTGCCCTACTCCCTTGTACCACTCCCAGTCTCTTTGTGTCCCAGCAAAACCCTCTGTGCCCCTCCCAACTCCCTACTCCTTATTCCCCCTCTTTCCCCCCCCCCACACCCCCTCCCCCCCCACATCCCCCACCCCCAACCCCTTCCCCTTGCAGGAAAATCGTGCATTTCCTGGCGCTGGTGTGGGTGCTCTACACCATGATAGTCTTCCTGCTGCCATACGCCTTCCCAGTCACGGTCGAGAATCTCAATTGGGCACCAGTGGCTATCGCAGCGTGGGTCATCATCTTTGTCACGTGGTGGATCGTGCACGCTCGCTTCTGGTTCAAAGGGCCGGTTCGGGAGATTGTTCCGGTCACGGAGGAGAATGGCGGGGAGAAAGAGGCCGAGGGGAAGGTGGAGTGATATCATTCTCGTGGTCTTCGTGTGCCCTTGTCCTGTGTGTTCAGAGCTGCAAATAGACTTTCACTCGGGTGGTCGTGTGCTTGTATTTATTGATGTGCTGTAGCCATGCTGTTAGGCATACGTATCCTCCCATGTGCGAGGGTTGGGTTGAGTTGCGGACTAGAAAGGTATAAGCGTAAAGAGTGCTGCTGCATAGGTGAGATAGCCAAGACTTGAACAATAATGCAAATAAGGAATGGATACTTGTTTATTTTCAGGTGTAGTAAGTAACCATTGAGTTCTTCGGCGCGACTTTCCCCCCATTGACTGGGATTCTGCATTATCCCGTGCAAGGCCTGGGAGAGAATTGCTCCCGACCCGTGTTTGGTGATTCGCCGTTGCCCACGTGGCCCCGAATTGCTCGTGGGGTCATACAGTTCAATGATAATTGCTCGAGTGGTCTTGCCAGAGGTTTCCCCCAGCATTTCTTTGACCCGGCACATTACCTGGGAAGGATTTTTAGCCCCGAAATTCTTACATCAAACGTGTCTCTTCCCGCGGAATTCTGAACGCGGGCAAAAAAAAACTAAAACCCGATTGGAAGGCATGCCATTCGGGAAGCATCAACCCTGAAATTTTAGGGTTGATGCCTCCCGAAGGGCATGCCGTTCGCGACGGGTTTTAGATTTTTTACAGGGCTAAAAATCCTTGCTTGGGTAATGTATCTGGTAAAAAAGGCTGCGGAAATCCTCTGGCAAGGCCACTCGAGCAATTATCGTGCAATTGTAGGACCACGCGAGCAAAATGAGGCCACGTGTGCAACGCTGAATCTCTAAACATGGGTTTGGAGCAATTCTCTCAAGGCCTGGGGCTTGGGGGACCAAGCTGTTCTGTACTGCTGCTGACTTCAGGTGTATCTGGCTACTGTGGGCCAGTCCGAGCTGTCATTGATCTGTCCACACATTCATCCAGCCAATTTCTTTTCTCCGCTGGCGCCTTCTTCCGTGTTGAGCATTTTCTTCTGCCCCTGCCTCGCCCAGTTTGCCCCAACCCACTGTTTACGACATGAGCAGCCACCCTGTGTCAGGCATGGCAAGGACCCTTTCCCAGCAATCTGCCCAACGAACTGCCTGCCAGCCCGTGGCCCAAAATAAAATATGATCAACGAGTCGCGAAAATCTCGAAGCCAAATGTGCGGCTTGGGCAAACAAGCTGGCCAATGGCCACGAGGCAGATTCTTCCTCTCCCCCCATCCCCTCACAAACCCCCACCTCACCTCCAAACACCCCCATTGTACACCCGCCCATCCCTCAATTCCCCCTTCCTCACACTTTTGGCCTTCTACATCCAAACGGGAAAGTACCTTCGTAAAAATCGTTCCACGACGATTTCCAGTCATCCCTTCCCCTCCCTCTTCACCGCCCGCCTCCTCCACCGAGATTTGTTGTACCATACCACATGAAACAGCCCACACATTCCCTCCTGACTTTCTCTTAGGGTCTCATCCAGAGCCATAATCCCGGAGGTATCGCTCTCAGCTGCGTTCCAAGACAGAGTATAGTCGTGCGACACGACGTCGACGTCAATGCAAGCTGACAAAAAAAAAAAAATCATCCTTCTTGACTTGCACGAAATTCAGGCCGATGTGCTTCATTATCGCCGTGTGCGGAGCTTGTTGATTTAAAAATTACCCGAATTACTATCCATGTTTACGGTACAGTTTATGCTTGACTTCAGAATCCAAATTTACACCCTTGTTTCTTTGTGAGAAACTCGCAGTTCGTGGCCGTTTATTTCGACTTAGAGGCGGGACGTATGATGTCTTATCTTCAAGGCGTCTCAGAATAAGAATCTCCGGGAATGTGAACCCCGGTGTACATGACTAAGCCTTCTCTGCTCGCTGATAATCCTCAGGATACCGACACGCTGTCCGCTTTCTTGCAAGGCCTGTTTTTCTCCGAGAACGGCGTCCCAGCTGATAGAACGCACAATACCCCTCCGCAGAGTCCGCTGCGTTGCGTACTTAGTTGGTCGAGCTGCCTCGCTTCAAACGTTGACGCTGTGCTGGCGACAATGGTCGTAATGCCATGCGACGAGATAGAAGCGTCGCCCGCCGACAGTGGCGGAGCGACGAAACACGACGGCGACGACAGTGCCTTCCGCCGCTCGGCGAGGAGATGAAGCTGTACACGGAGGCGTCCGCGTTTGAAGGCGCCGCGATAGTGGCGATGATTCAGCGGCGCGACGAGGAGGAGGGAACGGAGCAGAAGATACTTCAGATCACCATGGAGGACGGGATAACGCTCTCCGTCGAACTAGATCCCGCTGAAAAGCGCCTGAACGAGCTCGGGTACCGGCAGGAGCTCCGCCGCTCCCTAGTGAGTTCAGAGTCTCCCCCCAACCTGTCAAGGCGTTTCAGTGACAGCAGTAGGGCAGCAAGCCCTTGACGTACGGTCCTTCAGATCGCCATGGAGGACGGGGTGACTCTCTTTGTGGAGCTAGATCCCGCTGAGAAGAGCCTGAACGAGCTGGGTTATCGGCAAGAGCTCCGCCGCTCCCTTATGAGTTACTTGATCTCTCGTCTCCCTTAAAACGGTGGGTTTCAGTGACAGTAGGACAGACAGGAGGCCCTTCAGGTGCGGACGGAATCACGCTCTCCGTCGAACTAGATCCGGCCGAGAAACGGCTGAACGAGCTGGGATATCGACAGGAGCTTCGACTCTCTCTGGTGAGTTCTCTGAGTTGTCTTCCGACAAGAGTTCGCTCCATTTGCAGCAGCCAGGAAACCTCTCAGGAGCAGAAAATTTTTCAGATCACCATGGAGGACCGGGGTTACGCTCTCGTCGAACTCGATCCGGCCAGGAGCTTCGACGCTTTCTGGTGAGTTCTGGGCTCTCCGATCACGTTATGATTGTGCTGATTGTGCAGGCCACCGTAGGACACGGTTGCGCTCCTCTCATCTCTCATCTCTCATCTCTCATCTCTCATCTCCCATCTATCATCTCTCATCTCTCATCTCCCATCTCTCATCTCCCATCTCTCATCTCTCATCTCTCATCTCTCATCTCTCATCTCTCATCTCTCATCTCTCATCTCTCATCTCTCATCTCTCATCTCTCATCTCTCATCTCTCATCTCTCATCTCTCATCTCTCATCTCTCATCTCTCATCTCTCATCTCTCATCTCTCATCTCTCATCTCTCATCTCTCATCTCTCATCTCTCATCTCTCATCTCTCATCTCTCATCTCTCATCTCTCATCTCTCATCTCTCATCTCTCATCTCCCATCTCCCATCTCCCATCCCTCATCCCTCATCGCATGCGTGTGTCCCCCATATCTCTCCCTCCTTCCCCATCACATTCCCATGGTCAATGTTTGCCCTGCCCCAGCGCTTCTCCCTGCGTCTACGTGCTTCTCCCTCCATTCATGGCTGTCCTGTCCCCATTCAACCCATCTCCCTTTTCTCATCGCATACTTGTGCACTCTCCCTTCAATCAACTCCCCGACCTCCCCTCAGCGCTTCATCGGCCTCTACACAGTGGGTGTCTTCTATGACTGTCCCCATCTCTCACATGCGCATACCCCCTTGTCTATCTCTCCGGTCATGACTGTCCCCATAACCCCACCGGACATTTCAAGCCTATGCCCTCCATCCCTCCCCCCATCCCTTCCCCCATCACTCCCCCCATCCCTCCCCCCATCTCTCCCCCCGCCCGTGCCTCCTTCCCCCCTGCGCTTCCGCGGCCTCTTTGCAGTGGGAGTATCTTTCCTTGACTGTTCCCATAACCTCGCCTGACGTTGCAAGCCCATGTCCCCCATCCCTCCATGACTGTCTTCTTCCCCCCATGTCACCCTCACCCTGCGGCTCATACCCCCCCATATCAGCGCTTCCTCGGCCTCTACGCAGTGGGAGTGTCTTTCATGACTGTCTTTGCTGGATTCGTCCCCACCTACGCGTACGTCCACCCCCTCCTTCCCTTTCGCATACCCTTGCGTGTGCTCATAACTATCACGCACGACCATTGCGTAATTTTAAAATTCATGTTTTGAGTCGACTCAAAGCACAACTCATAACTATCACGCACAAACATAGCGTAAAATAATTATTCATCACACAGACCTCTTCCTTCTGTACTCCGCTAGGGCTCATCTGGTACTGGTGGATCACACATACTCCTCTTCCTTTCCTTTTTCCTTCCCTATGCGCTCCCCTCACTCGCCTCCCACACTCGCTCTTCTCACTCTCTTCCTGATATTCTTCTCCCCCACTCTTTGCAGCCAAGGGTTCACCAAAGACGGCCCAGCAGGGCTCATCTGGTACTGGTGGATCACGGCCCTCATCGTCCCTCCCCTTTCCGCTTCCTATCTCCTCCATTCGCCCCCTCCCCTCCACTGTCGCTCCCCTTTCCCTCCCTCTGTGCAGGCAGGGGTTCATCAACGGTGGCCCAGCAGGGCTCATCTGGTACTGGTGGATCACGGCCCTCTTCGTACACCTTATAGGCCTCTCCATGGCTGAGATAGCATCCTCGTTCCCGGTAAAGAAACACCCTGTGCTGCATTGTTTGCCCTCTTTGTTTGCCCTCCTCTCCATGGCCGAGATAGCATCCTCCTTCCCTGTGAGAAACGACACTCTTTAATGCATTGTTGTCTGTACCAACCCTGCACCGTGCCCTCTATTCGATCCCTGTTCATCCACCTTATGGGCCTCTCGACGGCTGAGATAGCGTCCTCGTTTTCAGTAAGAAAACACCCTGTGACGCATAGTTGTCAGTCGGTCGTACCACACATCGCACTAATCCTCTTGGTCCACCTTATAAGCCTCTCCATAGCCGAAATAGCATCCTCATTCTCAATGAGAACCTAACTGTGCTCCCCTACTTCACCGCACTGCACTGCACTGCACTGCACCGCACTGCACCGCACTGCACTGCACTGCACTGCACTGCACTGCACTGCACTGTAACCAACGCGTCCACTGCCTAACCATTCCTTTCTTCCATCATTCACCCCCACTCACCCTCTGACCCACCTGAGCAAGTTCACAATCTTTTGTGCCCCCGACTATACAGCAAGGATTAACCACCTGTCCTTGCCTCCCTCCTCTGATTTCCCAATCCTCCCCTCGCCCCCAACCCCCATCTCCCCCCCACCCCCCTGACTCCTCCCTCCAGACAGCTGGCTCGCTCTATTTCTGGGCGGCAGCACTGGCAGGGCCGAAGTGGGGCCCACTGGCCTCATTCATCACGGTGAGATGCGATCTGATTTGGTTCACGGTGGGATGTGATTTGATTTGATTCACGGTCGGATGCGATCTGACTTGATTCACAGTGAGATGCGATGCGATTGGATTCTATTCGCGGTAATCTGCTAAGTGAACTACTCACTGCCCTTTGCTCTTCCTTTGCTCTTTGCTCTTCCTTCACTCTTCCTTCGCTCTTCCTTCGCTCTTCCTTTGATCTGACAAGTCTCTTGCAAGGGTGGGTGGTGTGGTAGAGTTTCGGAACGTGTCTCATGTGGGTTTCTTTCTCGGCTTGGTTGTGTGTGTGGCCAACATCCCTCCTGTGTGCCTGCCTGTCATAATGTCACCCTCTCTCTGCGAGCGCCTGACTTTCTGCTCTTTCTCCTTTGCCCGACTCCTCCGTGCTTTCGGCAGGGGTGGATGGAGATTCTGGGCCTGGCTGGGTGTGGGGCCAACATGCCCTATGTATCTCTTTCACTGGCGATGTTCTGGGCCTGGCTGTGTGTGGGGCCAACGTCTCGTATGCTCTGCTGCATTCGTGATGTTTCTTTGTCTTTACGTGTGTGCTTCCCACCCGCCCTTACTGCTTGCTCTCACCCCGGTGGCAGGGGTGGATGGGGTTCCTGGGCCTGGCAGTGTGAGGGGCCAACATGCCATATGTATCTCCCCCACTGGCAATGCCTGTATCTCTGTGTAACGCCCTACTATGCTCTTCTGGCATTGCCCCTGGCTCCTCCGTGCTTTGGCAGGGGTGGATGGAGTTTTTGGGCTTGGCTGTGTGTGGGGCCAATGTCTCGTATGCGTCTCAATTATCACTAAAAGTGCCAGTTTCTCTTGTTACCCCATTGCCCCTGACTCATCCGTGCTATGGCAGGGGTGGATGGAGTTCCTGGGCCTGGCGGTGTGTGGAGCCAACGTTGCATATGGTGGCTCCGTTATTCTGCAAGTGCTCATCCTCATCTCCACCGGTACACTCACTTGCGTTGTATAAACTAACAGAATATAAAGAGTTGCATTGATGAGATGAATATGCATGGCTGGCTGGAGAACCTGGGCTTTCACATGCACATGCACATGCACATACACATGCACATACACGGTTGGTTGGTCTAATGTAGTTAAGAATTTCTGGTAGGGGGGTCATGTGTAGTGCAGATGCACATGCATTGGTATATGCACGTGCCATGCCATGCCGTGCCACGCCATACCGTGCCATTCCATGCCATGCCATACCATAGCAAGCCATGCCATGCCATACCATACCATACCATACCATGTTAGAATATAGCATGCATATGGCTAGAACTAATAGTGTACACCCAAATCATGGGTGTACACATTGAGGTGGTCTCCCAACTTTTGGTTGGGTTTCCACAACCCAGGCGACCATTATTGTTGGGGAGCCAACATTGGTGGCCAACCCCTCCAATGTTTGGCCCCTCCAATAATTGACTCAACCTCAATTATTGGGCTGGACCCTCACCACATTGGTCAACCAATAATGGTGTGGGGTAACTCTGATTTTGGTCACTCTTCCCATTCCCTATTTGTACTGCTCTTCTTTATCAATATACCAACTCTTGAGTTCACCCCCTAATCCCAACTATGGGATTCTCACATGGTATAGAGCTATTTTGGCTAACGCCACCTTCTCCCTCCCTAGGAGATCCTCGGCCTCTTGCCAGCTTCATGGTCTTTGCCCCATCAGCCTGCTCCCCTCCCTCAGGCTTTTCCCCGTGGCTTTTGAGGCGCTTGTACGCGCCGACCCGCGCGACGAACGCGCCGAGCAGCGGGACGTCCGCGCCGACCCGCGCAACGACCGCGCCTACCACTTCGCCCGTCGATTCCGCTTCCGAGGGCATTTCGCCCGTCAGCGCATTCATTCGCATCGTCACCACGCTTCCGCCCCCCTTCTAAGGGCCATCCAACCCACCTCCCCTCGCTTCCTCCTCCTTCGGGCCATCCAGCCTTCCTCCCCCTTCCCCCTCGCTTCCTCCTCCTTCGGGCCATCCAGCCCTCCTCCCCCTTCCCCCTCGCTTCCTCCTCCTACGGGCCTCCCAGCCCTCCTCCCTTCGCCGCCGCGGCTCTCCCGCTGCCACGGCCATTTCACCGCCCTGCCATCTCGTGGTCGCCAACGCTTCCTACCCCACCTCGTAGTGGCCTGCTTTGCCACCTCCCGCTGCCGCCGCCGTCTCCCTTCTCCACCTCCAGCAGCCCCCCCTCCCTGCTGGTGTGCGACCTCACCGCCACAGCACCTTCGGCTGGCTTGCTTCCTCACCTGCAGCAGCCCCCCCCTCCCTGCTGGTGTGCGACCTCACCGCCACAGCACCTTCGGCTGGCTTGCTTCCTCACCTGCAGCAGCCCCCCCTCCCTGCTGGTGTGCGACCTCACCGCCACAGCACCTTCGGCTGGCTTGCTTCCTCACCTGCAGCAGCCCCCCCCTCCCTGCTGGTGTGCGACCTCACCGCCACAGCACCTTCGGCTGGCTTGCTTCCTCACCTGCAGCAGCCCCCCCCTCCCTGCTGGTGTGCGACCTCACCGCCACAGCACCTTCGGCTGGCTTGCTTCCTCACCTGCAGCAGCCCCCCCCTCCCTGCTGCTGTGCGACCTCACCGCCACAGCACCTTCGGCTGGCTTGCTTCCTCACCTGCAGCAGCCCCCCCTCCCTGCTGGTGTGCGACCTCACCGCCACAGCACCTTCGGCTGGCTTGCTTTCTCACCTGCAGCAGCCCCCCTCTCCCTGCTGGTGTGCGACCTCACCTCTACAGCACCTTCGGCTGGCTTGCTTCCTCACCTGCTGTAGCCCCCCCTCCCTGCTGGTGTGCGACCTCACCGCCAGAGCACGTTCGGCTGGCTTGCTTCCTCACCTGCAGCAGCCCCCCCCTGGCTCCCTGCTGGTGTGCAACCTCACCGCCACAGCACGTTCGGCTGGCTTGCTTCCTCACCTGCAGCAGCCCCCCCCCCTCCCTGCTGGTGTGCGACCTCACCGCCACAGCACGTTCGGCTGGCTTGCTTCCTCACCTGCAGCAGCCCCCCCTCCCTGCTGGTGTGCGACCTCACCGCCACAGCACGTTCGGCTGGCTTGCTTCCTCACCTGCAGCAGCCCCCCCTCCCTGCTGGTGTGCGACCTCACCGCCACAGCACCTTCGGCTGGCTTGCTTCCTCACCTGCAGCAGCCCCCCCCTCCCTGCTGGTGTGCGACCTCACCGCCACAGCACCTTTGGCTGGCTTGATTCCTCACCTGCAGCAGCCCCCCCTCCCTGCTGGTGTGCGACCTCACCGCCACAGCACGTTCGGCTGGCTTGCTTCCTCACCTGCAGCAGCCCCCCCCTGGCTCCCTGCTGGTGTGCAACCTCACCGCCACAGCACGTTCGGCTGGCTTGCTTCCTCACCTGCAGCAGCCCCCCTCCCTGCTGGTGTGTGACCTCACCGCCACAGCACGTTCGGCTGGCTTGCTTCCTCACCTGCAGCAGCCCCCCCCTCCCTGCTGGTGTGCGACCTCACCGCCACAGCACGTTCGGCTGGCTTGCTTCCTCACCTGCAGCAGCCCCCCCCTCCCTGCTGGTGTGCGACCTCACCGCCACAGCACCTTCGGCTGGCTTGCTTCCTCACCTGCAGCAGCCCCCCCCTCCCTGCTGGTGTGCGACCTCACCGCCACAGCACCTTCGGCTGGCTTGCTTCCTCACCTGCAGCAGCCCCCCCCCTCCCTGCTGGTGTGCGACCTCACCGCCACAGCACGTTCGGCTGGCTTGCTTCCTCACCTGCAGCAGCCCCCCCTCCCTGCTGGTGTGCGACCTCACCGCCACAGCTCCTTCGGCTGGCTTGCTTCCTCACCTGCAGCAGCCCCCCCCCTCCCTGCTGGTGTGCGACCTCACCGCCACAGCACGTTCGGCTGGCTTGCTTCCTCACCTGCAGCAGCCCCCCCTCCCTGCTGGTGTGCGACCTCACCGCCACAGCACCTTCGGCTGGCTTGCTTCCTCACCTGCAGCAGCCCCCCCCCCCTCCCTGCTGGTGTGCGACCTCACCGCCACAGCACGTTCGGCTGGCTTGCTTCCTCACCTGCAGCAGCCCCCCCCTCCCTGCTGGTGTGCGACCTCACCGCCACAGCACGTTCGGCTGGCTTGCTTCCTCACCTGCAGCAGCCCCCCCTCCCTGCTGGTGTGCGACCTCACTGCCGCAGCACCTTCGGCTGGCTTGCTTCCTCACCTGCAGCAGCCCCCCCCTCCCTGCTGGTGTGCGACCTCACCGTCACAGCACCTTCAGCTGGCATGCCGCGTCATTCGCCGCATCTATTACCGGGTCCTCGCTTCAGGGGTTGTTTGGTCTAGCCATTCTCATGCTAAGGGGTTGTGTTAGAATATAGCATGTATATGGCTAGAACTAATAGTGTACACCCAAATCATGGGTGTACACATTGAGGTGGTCTCCCAACTTTTGGTTGGGTTTCCACAACCCAGGCGACCATTATTGTTGGGGAGCCAACATTGGTGGCCAACCCCTCCAATGTTTGGCCCCTCCAATAATTGACTCAACCTCAATTATTGGGCTGGACCCTCACCACATTGGTCAACCAATAATGGTGTGGGGTAACTCTGATTTTGGTCACTCTTCCCATTCCCTATTTGTACTGCTCTTCTTTATCAATATACCAACTCTTGAGTTCACCCCCTAATCCCAACTATGGGATTCTCACATACCATACCATACCATACCATACCATACCATACCATACCATACCATACCATACCATACCATACCATACCATACCATACCATACCATACCATACCATACCATACCATACCATACCATACCATACCATACCATACCATACCATACCATACCATACCATACCATACCATATCCTACCAGTCCCTAACCTGCCATACCATGCCATTCCATACCATAACATTCTATACCATACCGTACCATACCATCCCACACCATCCTATGCCACCAGATCCCATTCCATGCCATCCCCATCCGCAACCCATTCAACAGGCGGAAGGAATGGGGGTGGCTACCTCCCCAGAAAGTATGATGTCTTTGCCGTTACATGTGCCTATGTACTTATCATACCAACCCACCACATGCATGCCATCCCTTGCTGTGCTATGCCATGCCATGCCATGCTATGCTATCCCTGCAACCAACCAACAGGCGGAGCGAATGGGGGTGGGTACCTCCTCAGCCAGTACGCTGTCTTTGCCATCGCGTGCGGCTTTGTGCTTATCTGCTTCCTCATCAACTGCTTATCAGTGCGCACTGTAGCGACAGTCATGGTTGTCTCTGCTACCATTCAGGTAAATCCTCAGGTGGTTTTCTTAAGGTGAATTATTTGCTGTTGTTCAGGTAAATTCCAGGTATAGCTCCCACCTGTCTGTCATGCGATCATGCCATCAGGCTCTCATGCTGCCATGCTATCATGCTGCCATGCTATGGGCGTCGTCCTTCCTCACTCAGCTCATAGCAACAGCGGTTGTCTCTCTCGCCTTTGTCTTACCGTTCTCTTGCCCTCATGTTGTCCTCATCCCCCCGTCTACCTCGTGCCTCACAGATCGCAGCAGCAGTGGTGCTAATTATCATGCTGCCTCTAGTGGCGCCCACTCACAAGCCAGCATCGTGGGTCTTCGGGGACTTTGGCAACAACCGAGACATCACACTCACGCCCAGCAATGTGAGTTCTGAGCCGCCTTCATACAAGCGACAGCTTCGAGGTTCCTCAGAAGCTGGTCTCATTATGAAATGAGTTTTTGAGACGTCTCAAAGGTTCCTCAGAAGCTTCTGGTGGTCATGCTCTCAAAGGTATCATGCTCCCTCTGGTGGTCGTCACCCATGAGCTGGCATCTCGGGTGTTTGGCAACTTCGGCAATAACAGAGGCATAACATTCTTGAAATCGCTTCTGAGAATTCTCAAAAGTAATTTCAATGTAGCCGAACTTCGGCAACAACAGAGGCAAAACACTCTTCCGTTGTCACCACCCTCCCATGTACCCACGTACCCTCCTATTCTCCCTCGCCTCATCCCTCCCAGGCCTACTCCTTCCCCATCTCTCTCCTCGCCTTACTTCCTCTATGGCTGCCGTCCTTCTTATCAGCCCTCCCTCCCTCCCTTCCCCTTCGCCCCCCTCCTCTTGCTCCCTCCCTCCCAGGCCTACCCCTTCCTCATCTCTCTCCTCATCTCACAGTACTCCCTCCACGGCTACGATTGAGTCTCTTGGGCTGCTAACCCGGCCCCATCTCCCTCGTATTGTCATTGCAGGTTAAGAGACGACTTTTTGAAGTGCAAAGTGGGTTGCTAATGCGTCCTCATCTCCCTCGTATTGTTCCCCTGCTCCCTGTTCCCATCCCAGGCCTATTCCTTCCTCATCACTCTCCTCGTCTCACAGTACTCCCTCTACGGCCACGACTCTGCTTACTTGATCCGAATGAATCTAATTTACTCCTCTCCCTTCTCCCAACTCCCCCACCCCCCAGGCCTACTCCTTCCTCATCACTCTCCTCGTCTCACAGTACTCCCTCTACGGCTACGACTGTGTGGCGCATCTCGCAGAAGAGACAAAAAAGGCCGACCGGACGGCGCCGCTTGCAATCATGTCCTCCCTGACCACAGTGACCGTCCTGGCGTGGCTGCTGGTGGTGGTGCTGACGTGGAGCATCCAGGATCCAGCTCATCTGTTTGCGGCGGAGAGCGTGACAGGTGGCATGCAACCAGTGGTGCAGATCATGTGGGACGTGTTTTACGCGCGGTAAGAATAGGAGGGGGTTGAGGGGATGAGGAAAAAGGGCAAGGGTTGAAACCAGTGCGTGGCTCTCCTGTGTGTATACACAGTCGCATGTCACCACTGGTTCAGAGCACGTGGGGTGTGTATGAGCACAGGAGTGTGTATGTGGTTCTACTTGAGGCAAGTTCGAGTGGTGCAGATAATGTGGGACGTGTTCTATGCTCGGTAAGAACGGGTCTTGAGGCGCCTTCAAAACACATCCCACCCACATTATCTGCACCACTGAAATTAAAACTCTTCTGATCTCAGTGGTGCAGATAATGTGGGGCGTGTTATGAAAGGGTGCGTTTCGCAGCATTAATTGTTCTCAATATTGAGAATTCTCAAAAAGATCACCTCATTTCCTCAAAAGTTCTTGCTTCTTTTCCCTTTGATGCTCCCCGTTAAAAGGAAAGTACTGAAGGAGGATGTAAAACGCAGGTCTTAAAGCGACGGGCAACTTTTGGCAGTGTTGGGTTCAGAAGTTTTTTTTTTGAACCAGGCTTGCCAGCGCGAAAGTGTTGGCTGGCGAAAACCAGGATTTCGTGCAGACACTTTTCATCTGCAGTAACAGTTCGCCAGGGTTCTGGGTTTTGGGTGGCAAATGTGCACCGTCGCTTTAAAGGTCATCGTCTGCACCTCCTTCAACCCCTGCTGCTCCTCCTCAAAATCCATAGCTCTGTTCCCACTTCTCTCTCCTCTCCTCCTACACCCTCACTCCCCTCTGCAGTTACGGCTCTGGCTTAGGAGCGCAGGTCTTCACAGTCGTCATCTGCATCTCCTTTTTCCCCACTGCTGCTTCCACCCCCCTCTACCCTCCCCTCCCCCCTCCACTACAGTTACGGCTCTGGGTTGGGGGCGCAGGTCTTCACAGTCGTCATCTGCATCTCCTTTTTCGGAGCCACTCTCTCATGCCAGCTCGGGGCATCTCGCGTGGTGAGTGGTTCACATGGTGCGGTGTGGTGCAGTGCGGTGCTGTGCAATTGAGGGTTCCCGAAAGCGACCTGTGTTTCTTCGGAGCCACTCCCTAATGCCAGCTCGGGGCTCCACCATTGCTTGGAGCCTGTGTCGCTTGACCCCCAACCCAGCGCCTGTGTCGGCCCTCGCACTCTCTCTGTGCTGCTTGGATTGCGCTTCCTGCTGCCCGTGCTCGCCTCCTCCACGCTCTTCTCTGCCATCACTTGAATCCTCTCCCCCACTCTCAACCTTCCACCCCGGCCCGCCTTACTCCCACAGGCCTATGCCCTCGCACTGGACGCTGGACTCCCCTTCTCCTCTCTGGCGTCGCCTGGCCCCCAACCGAGTGCCAATATGGGCCCTCACACTCTCTGTGCTGCTTGGATTGCGCTTCCTGCTGCCCGTGCTCGCCTCCTCTACGCTCTTCTTCGCCCTCGCTTCCATCTCCACCATCGCTTAAATCCACCTCCCCTCTCCTCCCCACTTCCACCCTTCCCCACCACCCCATAACCCCTCCACCCCTACTCCCCCAGGCCTACGCCCTGGCTAGGGATGGCGGCCTGCCCTTCTCCTCGCTCTGGAGACGCCTCGCTTCGAACCGCGTTCCAATATGGACACTCACGCTCTCAGTGCTCGTCGGGCTGCTCTTCCTGCTGCCTGTGCTCGCCTCCTCCACTCTCTTCTTCGCCCTCGCTTCCATCTCCACCATCGCCTGGATCTCCGCGTATGCCATCCCGATCCTCTTCCGCGCGCTGCAAAAGGAACAGAATTTCCAGCCCGGCCCGTTCTACCTGCCCAACTACATCGGATTCACAGCTGGGTAAGTCCACTGAATGGGAGTTGGGAGGGGTAGGAGGAGAGGAGGAGAGAGGGAGTGAGATCTCCACCATCGCTTGAATTTCCGCCAATGCCGTCCGCATCCGAGTTGACTTTTGAGTCGACTCAAAAGTCAATTTCCACCATCGCTTGGATCTCCACCTATGCCGTCCGCATCCTCTTTTGCGCCCCGCAAAAGGAACAGAATTTCCCGCCCAGCCCGTTCTACCTGCCCAACTACATCGGGTTATTCAGGTCTTCTGAAGACAGGAAGCATGAGAGGTGTGAAGTGGAAAGGGTGAACATGAGGGTGACAATTTGTCTAGGGTAGTGTGCACATATGCGTTGATATCATGTCCATGCCTTGTTTCCATCGCCTCATTGCATTTTGCAGTCAAGGTTGTTCCCTTCCCGTCCCTCATCCCATCTCTCAATACCATACACTCACCTTCTTGATTCTTACCGGTATCACAGGAAACTGGTGCATGTGGTGGCTCTTTTATGGGTGCTCTACACCCTTGTGGTCTTCAACCTTCCGACGATGTTTCCTATTACCGTAGAGAATTTTAATTGGGCGCCAGTGGCCATTGCTGTGTGGATGAAGATGTTTATTGCATGGTGGCTGCTGCATGCTAGGTTCTGGTTCAAAGGTCCTGTTAGAGAATTTGAACCTCTCGAGGAAACTCTTGTAACAAACCAAATCAGCAAGGAATTTTGAGTCTTGCTATCAGGGTTAATTATATATATCTGTAAGTAATTTCTGATGCTCAAAATGTTGTTTAAATATACGTTTCCGAACTACCAGTACATAGAAACCATTCACAGAATTTACCTTGGCGAGGCAATGTGAAAGTCAAGAGGCGACGGAGGTAAATGAGTTGAGAAAGACTTCGATATGCCAAGGGCAAGACCCACCCAAAATGAGTCATTACCTGAATGTGGCAAGACCCACCCAAAATGAGTCATTACCTGAATGAGTTAGCAGTCCGTCGATCAGTGGACGATTTCTGACAGGATGCTTGATTTCTCGTCGTCTGATTGGTGCGCTTGGCGGGACGCCCGTACCGCGTACAACAGCGCGATCGAGTCGCTCGCGAAACCTAAGCTCGCGGCGCTCGACGCGTTCTATTGCGACGAGCTCCCGCGGCGATTGTGTCAGCGACAGCGACAGCGACAGCGACAGCGCATCGGCGAAGGCAGCGATCCTGAACCCGGAAATTCCGAAGCCGAGGTTGTCGAGGCGGGAGATTCTAAAGCAGCAATTGCGGATAATGAATCCGAGGCTGGAAAGACCCAAGGCGGGAGTACACGCGCGAATCTTGAAAACGGGACAATCGAGAATACTAGGACGACCAGAAGCAGAACCAGGAAACGCGAAGACTTCAAAGGCGAGGACAAGGAGAAAGGGGATGGTGGGGATGGTGGGGGTGGTGGAGCTTACGTCAGCAAGGAGGAGCTCGTGTCGGTGATGGAGTGGAAGCTGACACGTGGCAAATGGCGGTTAGTTAATTAACGGCACTTCCACTCCGAGCATTACCGACCCCCCACCGTTCTTCCTCCCTTCTCACCAACCCCACGGCCTCGTTTCACCCCACCTCACAAGAACCTGCTACCGAAACCTGCAAACCAAGGCTCTTACTACTCCTTTCCTGGATAATCCAACCTTCATGATTCTGCAATCGGCATTTGCGCATAACCCCTTCTCTCTCTCCCCCACTTCAACCTTCCCTCCTCCCGCCGTCACACCCCCGTTCCCCCCTTCATTCTCCCGTCCCTTTCCCTGTCACCCATCGTCTCCTCGCCTTCATCTAGCAGCTCGAACCCCATGCAGTCCAGACCGCAAGTCATAAAATCTGACTCAAAATCCCTCTTATGCGCCCTTCTTCCCCTCCACCCGCCCGTCCTCCCTTTCCCCTCCCCTTTCCCCCATCAGCCCTCGTCTCCGACCCCTTCTCTCTCCCTTCCTTTCCCCATCAGCCCTCGTCTCCTCATCAAGCAGCTCGACCCCCGTGCATTTCAAACCGCATGATTTTTATGTCGACTAAAATGCCCCTTACGCTCCCCCCCCCCCCCTTTACTTCTCCCATCCCTTCCCCCATCAGCCCTCGTCTCCTCGACTTCATCAAGCATCTCAACCCCAAGGCAGTCCAAACTGCATCATCCCGAGCCTTCGCTGCTCTGGCGTCACACCACACCCCTACCACACCTGGAAGCTTGGAATCCGGTTCGGGAGCAGGTTCAGAAGCCGGTATTGAAGCGAGCCTGAAGGCAGCAGTAACGGAGCTGTCAACGCTCAAGGGTGTTGGGGCAGCGACAGCGTCTGCAGTTCTGGCTGCGTTTGTCCCTCAAGTAGCTCCCTTCATGTCAGATGAGGTGAGCAGGGATCGTTCTCAGCAGTCCCAGAGCTGTCATCCTTCAATGGCGTTGGAGCAGCAACAGTGTCTGCAGTGCTGGCAGCGTTCGCCTCTGAAATCCTTTTCAGGAGCGAAATACAGTGAAGCATGTAGACGGGTCCATCCATGTTTCTTTCTCCGTTGTTGCTTCTGGAACTGTCTCGCCCATCTTGATGTTACTTTTGAGAAATTTCAGAAGTAACATCAAATTGTTGATGGATCCATTCATGTTTCTTTCTCTGCTGCTGCTTCTGCAAATGTCTCGCCCATCTTCTTCAGCCGTTTCAAGCTTCAACTAATCCCCTCCCCCCATGAGCACTCTGATGCACTTCCTCCCAGTATTCTCTCTGTGCTGCCCCTCTCCCCTCGTCCTTGTCTCTCATCTCATCTGCCTGCCTGTCGTGGTGATCCAGGCCATTGTAGCAGCGTCGGGGGACTGCAAGGACTATTCGCTACGCCGCTACCTCATGAGCACTCTGATGCCCTTCCTTCTGACAGTCTCTCTCATTTGACACTCCGCCTCCCCTTTGTCCTTGTCTCTCATCTCATCTGCCTGCCTGTCGTGGTGATCCAGGCCATGGTTGCAGCACTGGGGGACTGCAAGGACTACTCGCTTCGCCGCTACCTTGTTTTTGCCAAGGCCATGCGGGAAAAAGCATCTGTAAGCTGAGTAGCACCTTCTTTCTTACCTTGTGCAACTCATCCGAATCAACGCGAAAGCATTTGTGAGCTGAGGAGCATTTCAGGGTTCTGGCCAGGAACGCGTCATGTGTGTGCATTGTAGCTTCTTACATGCGTGCTGTTATCCCTGCTCGCTTATGCTGGCAACAGTGATCATGTGTCATTGCGAGCGCATTTCAGTGCGGGCGCGTCACAGGGCGGTCACGTTTCTTCTTTTTTCTGCAAGGTTGTGAGCATTTCATATGCCCCTGCCTTGAAACCGCATGCTTCCTCCCTTGTTTCTTGGACCTGAATCGCTGAATAAATCTCTTCCTCCTCCCTTGTTCCCGCGACAGGAATTGAATCGGCTCTCAGACAAAGGCGCACAGGCACGAGCTACAGATTCTTCTTCAGTAGAAGCAGAAGCGCAAGCAGAGCAGAACTATGCCCTTTCTACGTCACATGAAGAGGAGGTTTCATTCGTGTTCACAGCTTCTGATGTGGAGAAGGCTCTCTGGTCAGCCGCTGTGTCAGGAATGCAAGCAAAGGCCAATGTGGCAGGAAGTGGTAAAAGAAAAGAAACCGAGCCTGAGGTTGTTTCGAAAGCAAAAAGGAAACGTTGAATGATTACAAGCAGCAGCTGTCATCTTGTACGAAAGTGACCTGTGCACAAGGAAGATCTCGCACAGAGGTGTGGGTTAGCCCTGTTAATTTCGTTCAGTCAGTTTCTGGTGGTCCAGTTTTAAGTGCGAACAAGAATTTCAGCCAGCTTATACCGGTTTCCGAGCGTTGCTCAACACCGTATACTTCCCGCCAAAACAAAAATTGGGGCCGATACCGTTCGGTGTTGCTGGTTGGCTCCTTTTTCCCCGTTTGTGTGCCCAAGGGCCTGTCAGGCCCGGGAAAGAGGAGGAAGCCCTAGCGACGGTGTGATTCACGAAGAGCTTCCTTCCCTCGCCGTTCATGAAGGCACAGTCCATGAAGCAGAGACTGAAGCTTTGAGATCTCGGGCTTAGTCGTTGGTTAGGTTATAGAGAAGCTTAGCTTGTGGTAGTTAATCGATGGAGACAATGGCGCGGCCCGCAATGTTGTCGTCATCGGCTAGAGTCGTTCAAACGTTATCGCCAAAGGATATGACTCGGGTCTCTAGGAGCACCGTTGCAAGTGCAGATGTTTTCTCGCATTCTCCCTCAAACTGCTATCAGACCTATTCGTCGGTAAGCCTTTACGTTCATTTTAATAAATGTTACCTCGCCTTTTCCTCGAGGCTGTTTAGTTGGCCATGTTTCCTCATGTAGTTCTCATGTCCGCATACCCTTGCAGTCAAGAGTAAACACCGTACGACATCAGTCGTTGACTCGCTTACGGACATCATTGCGAAGCGCTTTGACACCAGGTTTTCACGGAATTCCAGGTTTTAGGGCTAACCCATTGCCAAGGCATGGAGCCTGCCAGACTTTTACGGGTATGATTTTTCTCACTTGCCATTATTTCAGTGGCCTGCGTTTTGGGGCGTCAGCAAGTTATGTATCCTGCTTCCGTGATTCCTTATCTTTGCAGTAAAAGCTACCTATTATGATGAAGATGATGAGGATTTATTTGAGCTAACTTTTCTTCAACGCTTGCAAAGGGCATGGCGGATAATATTTCCACCAAGAAACCGTCCTCCGAGGTAGGTCACGCTATCGAGATCGCTGACTGTAGAAGTTAGTGCAGAGAAATTGGTCGTCAATTTACCTGTTTACTGGTCTAGGATCTGATTCTTCTCTTCCGCGAATGCTTGCAGCAATGCCGAGATTGCCAAAGAGCGGCTTCGGCTTGTTCTGTACACAGATCGAGGGGAAGTAAGTCCTGAAGTGAGAAGGCGGCTACGACGCAAGATTATTGATGCAATTTCAGCGTACGTGGAGATAGAGTCAGAGGAAGACGTGCAGCTGAGTGTGTCAGCTGACCCTGATATTGGGACCGTGTATTCCATCACCATTCCTGTGCGGAGAGTGAAGCCGGAGTATCAAGAGTACTGGAGTGAGTCTGGATTCAGGGATCGGTTTTATGAGGAGATTCTGAGGGAGCGTGGTCCCAACTCAGCACTCACAAAGCTCGAAATAAAGAGGGAGCCCGTGTCAGATGATGATAGCAGAGCAGGGTCCGTGGATTCATGAACAGAAATGCTACTGACATCGGGTTTATTTTCTGGTTCTAGTCTCTTTGGCTAGGTGCTCACTAATGTCTCTTGCTGGGTAATTATTTTGCCCTCATATTCTGGGTGATGTAATAGACATGTACAGGGACTCTTATTTGGTGGTGCCCATCTTTTATTGTGTATTTTTTGTAATGAACACTTATACCTGACACCTTCTCAGGGGTCGACTGTAAAGCGTTCGTAACCAGTAAAGAACCTGCGGCTTGGCGCTCACTGCGCCGCATCTCTCGCTACCACCAGGTTTCTTGCCCCTGCTGCAGAGAAACTCCACGTACAGTAACGTCTCCGCCATATTTCCGCCATCTCCTTCCGGGGGCCACTCGCAACAGACTGCGCCAGGGCGCCGCCGCTACAATTTGAAGGGACGCTTGACTGACGGCGGAACAGTGTACGGCCCCTCTTCCCGCGCTCCTCGTCAACCGCCATTGGTTGGAATCGAAACGAAGGGGAGGAAATGGATCGACGACCACGATGAAGGATCAACGGATGGACGACTCAGCGCAAAACTTTGGGAAGGCATGGACGGTGCCGATTGTTCAAGCACAGCCCATCCTATCCCTATGCGTTCCCTCCCAAAACTTCGAGAAGGGATGGATGGTGGCCCCACCCCACCTGCTCACAGACACACAACAAACCTAGAGCCCACCTCGCTCGCTCTATGGTAGTTCCTCCGTCGTGTTCATTAATATCGTTTTGCGTCTAACGATAACGATATCCGTCGTTACTTAGGGTTCAAGATTAGGCTTCTCAATACGCTCGATTACCTGATGGCCGCTCTCGTCCGTAAGACTCTGCAGGCGATGGCACCACGTAAATATAGCAGCTTTGAATTATCGCAAGTGCGTGGCCACCTGTAGTAAAAAACCTGCCATGATGATGACTTGGCGCACACATCGCCTCAGACTTGCTCGAATCCTCCTGCTCCTAAGCTTGCGGGCGTTCTGAGACGTCTCAAAACAAGCGCCACTGCTACCGGTAGTCAACAACCTGCGACGATGGCGACGATGGCGATGATGGCGTGCACATCGCCTCCGTCTAACACCCCTCCTTCCGCTCTGCGGCTTGCGACGTTTCGCCTCTCGACAAAACGGCGATTCAGGCGCAACGCATTGACCCCTCCTGTCGATGCAACGCGATGTCTCTCCTGCCGATTAACGCACACGCACCTGCTACATCTCCTCTTCCTGCTGCTCTCTGCAGCACACCAAATATCCGCTCACACACCTCATCTTGACGATTCGCGATATACATCCGCGATAAAAGCGTCTCCACAACCAACGGGGCCTAGTCCCTCGCATTCCATCCGTCTTCACGTGGATCCAAACGAGCCCGATAGTAGTCAATCCGTGAGAGCAGACGCTCGGAGCGGCGAGCAGACGGCACCATTGGTACCACCTGCCGTTTTCCCTAGACTGATTCTTAGACGACGCAAGGATTCGAAACCGCGACTTCTCCGGAGCACGAGGGCGAAAGCGGATGGAGCGACGGATCCGCATGTTGATGGTGCAGCGAGGAGGAGCAGGGATCTGAAAGCAGACGCGAGCCACATGCGACTGGCAAGAGAGAGTAAGGTCTGCCCGTTTTTCCTGCGGTCCTCATCCTTTTATTCTCTTGCATTTTGGGTTTGGTTGGGGTGAGACGATTCTGCAGGGGCCGTCCATTCCATCTGTTCCATCTGTCGCCCGTTCTGTTCCATGTTCTCAACCCATCTTCCCATCGCCCCTGTCATCTTCTCCCTGTCCACTCCACTACCTTTCCACTCTCGTCTCCCTCCTCTCCTTTCGTGGTGTTCTTTGAAGGCAGAAGGTGACAGCAGCATTAGCAACAACAGCAGTAACAGCATGAACAGCGGCAGCAACAGCAGCAGCAGCAGTGAGAAGGGCAATGAATCTTGGATCGCTAGCAGTAGCGACGTGAGTAACAGTGGTGGAAGCACCACTGGTACCACTAGCAAGAACAGCAATGGCAGCAACAGTACTGTTAGTACAAGCAACAGCACCAGCAGCAGTGATAGCACAAGTGGCAACAGTAGCAACAATAACAGCAGCAGCAGCAGCAACACCACCACCACCAGTAGCAGCAGCACCAGTGACAGCAGCAACTACCATAGCAGCAACAGCAGCGGCAACAGTAGCAGCAGCGCCACCACCAGCAACACTAGTGAGCCAACCGCTCTCTCACCCACTAGTCGTGCCATCCTCATATCAGCACTCACCCTCTCCCTCTCTCTCGCGCTCATCACTGCTCTAGCCGCCTCCACCATGGCCATCCTCCTCTACCGCCGCCTCCCGCCCAATCCCCACACGCCACGTGGCGGATTCTCAGTGGTCGCGGCACACGGTTCGAGTGATGGTGGGGAGAGTGGGAGTGACAGCATCAGCAACAGCAACAGTAACAGCTGTAGCATTGGGAGTGGGAGCGGCCGGGGGGTTAGTGGCCGGGGTGGTTTACCCAGCCCGTTTCGGGGTGGTTTACCCAGTCCTTTTGGGGGTAGAAGAGAGAAGAGGAGGCCGCTTGGGGAGCAGTTGAAGGGTGAGGAGGGGGGCTGGGGGAACGACGTCGAGGATCAAGAGGATATTGTTGCTGCTGGCGCCGCTGCTGGTACCAGCGCTGCTGCTGCTGCTGCTGCTGGCGGTGGTGCTGGTGGTGGGGAGCGTGCAGGGCATGCAGCGGCGGAGAGTGAGGGGGAGGAGGCGTCTTTTGACATTCAGAAGGTGGTGGAGTTTACCCTTGCTGACCTCGTTGCTGCCACTGACGGCTTTGCAGACAAGAACCACCTGGGGCAGGGCAGCTACGGCAATGTGAGTGGTGCAGTGCGGTATGGCATCGTATGGCACGGTATGGCTGTGGTTTGAGTCGACTCATACCATTCAGAAGGTGGTGGGGGGCGTGCAGGGGGTGCTGTGGCGGAGAGTGAGGGGGAGGAGGCGTCGTTTGACATTCAGAAGGTGGTGGAGTTCTCTCTCGCTGACCTCGTTGCTGCCACTGACGGCTTTGCAGACAAGAACCACCTGGGGCAGGGCAGCTACGGCAATGTGAGTGGTGCAGTGCGGTATGGCATGGGATGCTTTGGGATCGCATGGTAGCTATGGCAATGGCAACGTGTTTGACATTCAGAAGACAAAAACGATCTGGAGCAGGGCAGCTACGGCAATGTGAGTGGCATGGTGCTTTTACTGGCATGGTGCTTTTACTGGCATGGTGCTTTTACTGGCATGTTGCTTTTACTGGCATGGTGCTTTTACTGGCATGGTGCTTTTACTGGCATGGTGCTTTTACTGGCGTGATGCTTTTATGCCAATATGAGTGGTGAATCAGGTCGGGTCCAAGTTGGTTCGGGTCGGGTCAGATCAGGTCGGGTCGGGTCAGGTCAGGTCGGGTCGGGTCGGGTCGGGTCGGGTCGGGCCGGGTCAAATCGAGATGGGACAGGAAGGGCGGGTGGGTGGGTTAGATAGTTATGCTATGGAATGTGCATGTTGGCACTTCATGACATGTGATTCTGTCAATGCAGTTATGAAAATGGGTCTAAATGACTTTGGATCCAAACTCAAGAAGCTTACTCTATAGCTTGCGGCATATGTAACGCTTTCCGCCGTGTTCCCCCCTCACCTCATCTCCTTCCTTATCCGCTTCCCTTCCCTGCACCAATTGCGTTATGCCAGGTGTACCGAGGGAGGCTCAAATCAGGAGAGGTGGTGGCTGTGAAACGAGCCAAGGCGGAGAGGAGGCAAGACATGCGCAAGTTCAAAAAGGAGGTGCGATGAGATTCATTGCGGTGGAATGAGATGGAATGAAATGAGAGTGGGTGAACGAGCTGAGGGAGTGCGATGAACCAAGGCCGCAAGCAAGACGTGCAAGAGGCATAATGAGTTGACATTCACGGCGTATTGCCGACCAAGTCCGGAGCAGCTGCTCGTTTACGAGCTTGTAGGACGAAAGAAGCCACTTCTTCCTCTCATCCTCACTCCGTCCTCAAATCCTTTCCCGCCCTCCCATGCTCGGTAAACATTCGACTCAATCCCCCTCTCTCCCCTCTTCCCCATTCCGACAGGTGATGCTGCTGTCTCGAGCGCGTCACAAGCATCTGGTGCAGCTGCTGGGGTATTGCCGGGAGGAGCAGGAGCAGCTGCTGGTATACGAGTTCATAGGTGGCAGGAGAGAGGAAGAATGCCCCGCTCAGAGCCTCAAATCCCGCTCCGCCTTTTCCTCTCCCACCCCTCACCCATGCTTCCACTCCCCACTGTGCCAGGTGATGCTGCTATCCAGGGCAAGACATAAGCATCTGGTGCAGCTGCTGGGGTATTGCCGGGAGGAGCAGGAGCAGCTGCTGGTGTACGAGTTCATAGGGGGGGGCACCCTCTCTCACAACCTGAATGCCCCCTGGCGAGCCAGACAAAACAAGCCGCCCCTCAACTGGACCGAGCGGCTGCTGGTGGCGGTGGGCACGGCGCGCGCGCTGGCTTACCTTCATGATGACGTCAGCATGCCGTTCATCCACCGGGATGTGAAGGTGGGAGATTTGATTTGATTGAATATATCTGGATGGGATGGGAGGGAGATTGGATGGGATTGGATGGGATTGGATGGGATGGGATGGGATGGGATGGGATGGGATGAGATGGGATTAGGATGAAATTGGATCGGATTGTATTATTACATCATTTGGTGGCAAATCAGTTCTCGTTCACTTCAACCCTCCCCATACCCCCACCGCTCTTCACCACCCTGCACCACTCTTAACCGCTCTGCACAGCCGGGAAACATCCTCTTGGATCGGCACGTGGTGGCGAAGCTGGCAGACTTTGGCACATCGAGAGCCGTGGACACGTCGTCGTACTCTGCAACCATCCAGGGCACTGCGGTGAGTCACGGCACATGGTTTGTGTTTAACGCAACACAGGGCACTGCGGTGAGTTGTGGAGGTCGAGGGTGTTTTGGTGTGCGTATAGCACATGCATTTGACACACACAATGCAAGCGCGTCGAGATCGGGGGACACATCGACATATTCCGCAATCATCCAGGGCGCTGCGATGAGTTGTGAACTGTGGGGGGTTTTGGCACTAAGATTTGTGCAACACACACATCTGCTCACAAGTACACGGAGAGATGTGGACACTTCATCTTATGATGCGAGCGACCATCCAGGGCACTACAATGAGTAGCACAGGCTACTCAGCCACACGCAGGCACACCGAGAGCTGTGGAAGTGCCGTTTTACCATGCAATCATTCCCTGGGGTGAAACATTTGCAACTGTTTTACCCCGCACTGGGGTGGGTTGAGTCCACCGACTCGATCAGTCTGCAAGTAGCCCTTCTCCCTGTACTCACAAACAACCATGCAGCGCTAATGCAATCCGGATTACCTCAAGACAGGGCAGCCATCGAAGCACATAGACGTGTACAGTGATAACATCATGCTATTGGAGCTCGGCCGTTTGTTTTCCCTCAATTTCCTCTCCATCCCTCCTTGTTCTCCCAACCCCCCAACCACTGGCAGGGCTACTGTGACCCAGACTACCTCAAGTCAGGGCAGCCATCGAAGCGCATAGACGTGTACAGCTTTGGGATTGTCCTTCTGGAGCTCATCACTGGGAAGTCGCCAAGAGGCATCTCCAGGCTGTACCGCTTCCATGTGAGTTGGAACAAGCTGCTGATTCCTTCCTTTGAAAAATAACTTAACAAAACAACAACTTCCAGAATTGCCTTTAAGCTGTATTGCTTCCCAAGTGAGTGGGCAAACTTTTTCTCCATTTCTTGCTTTCTCATGTTGATGCTCTCGCACATAAAACGCGTCTGGATCCGTAAACGGATGAAGTTCCGCAATCTCTTAGCATGCATATTTATTGGAAGCTTCTTTCACACTTTTGCGGAACTCACACATAAGGTCTCATTCCTGCAGACTCTCCCCCCTTTATTCCCTCACTCCTTTTCCCCAAAAACACCCCTTTCCCCCCGTTTTTTTCTTGCCACTACTTTTCTCAGGTCCAGGATTTACTTGACAAAAGGGGGCTTGCAGGGATAGTCGACCAATCCATGGGCATTTACCCTGAGAAAGAGGTGACCAGCGTGCTCAGCCTGGCCTTCAGATGCACAGACATCAAGAACCCCGCTGGCCGACCCTCTATGAACCGGGTGGTAACCGAGTTGGAGTCGGTGTTAGAGCCTGAAAGGGTGCTCCCGGTTACCACATTGGCGGTAACGCGTCAAATACACCACCAACATGTTATAAGCTTATCCGGAGGCATTGGTGATGAGAGGGTTGCGGAGGCGCCAAGTGAAAATGTGCAACACAGTGGGGAGTCAAATCAGGAGGCTGATATGGAAGTGATTAGAGAAGGGCAGGAACAGGAAGGTCATGATACGGGGGAGGGGGGAGTCAGGGGAGAGGGTGCAAGCATGGAGTTGTCATTTGATTGGAATTTGCAGGAAGGAGGCAGCGGTGGGTTGGGGCGAGATAGGAAAAATGCTTCCCTGGTGAGGGATCCGGATAGGTCAAGCAGGTTCTCATTTCAAGGTCAAGCATTTGAAGACTCCGATAGGGAGTTTGATGAGAGTGGGGTACTTAGCTATGGGCCAATAAATCCTGCATAGGCGTGTAGCCAGTTTGTCCAGTTCAACCTGTCCTCTGTATTGCATTCCACAGAGTGTCTCCACTTCTCTATCGCGTATATTCTCGGGGATGGGAAAACTTCCGCGGAGAGGAATCATTCCGCTTATGTTGTGGGTTTCGCGAGGTAGTTGGGTGTGGTCAGTGGAGGTGCAGAGGTAAGGGGAAACTCCCCTCCGCACCGACAGACGCCAGCCGCGCACACACCCTGGGTAAGACATGCAGGTAAGGGAGAGAATCAGGGACTCTCAAAGGTGTGGGGTGGTTTGGGGGACGGTGGCGAGGTGACTCACGAGGCGAGGGAGGGATGTCTGTGAAAATGAATCTCGTGCAACGCGACAGACATCAGGGACAGGTTGCATTTCCTGGCCGACGGGTCAGCTTGACGGCAGGTTTTGTTCCGTTTTGTTATGTTGGACACCCCACAGGGGAGGGAAACGCCATTCAAAACGGATTCAGTCAGTTTTGGTCGGACTCCGTCTGATCCCGTCTGGAGAAGGCAACCAGACCATCTTCCCAGGGTATGCTGCGAAACCACGAATCTAGGTGTTGGCGTACTGAGAGGTATCAATTAACTTTCAAGGTTTTCACAGTGGTAAATAATTCTTTGACGTAAAAAGACGATACATTCATTGGTGCGTACATTCGTTCTGCTTCGGGCTTACTCCTTGCCACTACGCACTCTATTTCACAGAAAACCGCGGAACCGTGCAAAATGTACCACCCACAGAAATGCACCTGCTCATGCTTCACCATTCCCCTTAGAAACCTGGGCAGCCGCCATGGAATCTCATGAACTACACAGACCTGCTTTTTGCTGCTGCTGCTGCTACTTGTTGCGACTCTACGCCGTTGTGCGAGTTTGAAACTAGGGTCAGTAGGCATTGTTGATGTTTTTGTTCATTGCCTTAGAACGTCAACCATGACATTGCCTGATGGAGCAGTGGTAGCAGGTGTTTAATAAGAGCAGCCGTTCTCGTCATCTAAGCTGATGATATTTAACCTAGATTAGGGGTGTCATTTTCGTGTCTCGCATTCCTCGCATTTCCCGTATTTAACCCTGTTTTCTTCCGAGTATTCAGCTGGCTTACCATGAGGTCGCAACGCCCTTTCATTCCCGCTCCCTCGCTTATTCCGCTGTTGCTTCTCGCAGCAGCAGCACCCACAACCGTTCCTGCCTCCTTTTTCGTTTCCGCTGACGGATCTTTGTCAGACGCTAACCAGCATCCGTCTGAAAGCTTCGATTTCCCCACCTTTAGCGCGGATGACGAGGAACTCATTATGGCGTACGAGAGGAAGTTCGCCGTTAGACCTGGCGAGGAGGAAGTGTCGTACGAGCAAGCATATCATCTGGGAGAGAAGCTGAGAGCTCGAGGTGTGACTGCAGCTGATGTGCTGCAAAGTGAAGATGATGTTCCGTCGCGAAAGGTTCAAGAGGAGGGATTCGAGCAGACGGATTCCGTTAATGACGACAGTAACCGTCAAGGTAGCTTTTTTACTGCTATTACTTCGCCTGCAGCATCTCCCACGTGTTTCTGTTATATGACGGTTTTGCGTGTCTGCTTCCCGCTTTCCTGTCTTCTTGACTCCTCTTTCACCTATATCGTCCCGTTTTTGACTTCCCTGATTTAATGTTACCTCCTCTTTCCTCATTCCCTGTTCTTTTTCTTTTCCTTCCGCCTCCTCCTCCGCTTCCGCCAGCAGAGTCTCCGCGGAGATCCCTCTCCGCAACTTCCTCTTCCGCCTCCTCCTCCGCTTCCGCTTCCGCTTCCCCAGACCAGTCCGCCCTCGCGGCCCAAACCATCGCGCGTCTTCGCTCGCTCGGCTTCCGAACCTTCGCGAGCGCTCTGGAGAAAACAGACGTTCTCTCCGCACTCCCCCCCACCGTCGCGCGCGCAGGGGGGTTCTCCCTCCTCGTCCCCTCGGACCGCGCGTTCCTTAATCTCCCGCAAACCGTTCAGAAGCTACTAAGAGGCCCGGACGCTAAAGCCGTACTTAAGAACCTCCTTCTATACCACATTTTCCAGCCGCGGATTAATTTCAACTACTTCCTGAAGCTCAGAGGGCGGCGCGTGAAGACACTGCTAACAGACCAGACCCTGACCGTTGGATTCGCGCGCTCCGGCTTTCCCGCAGCGCCGACAG